ACACACACACACACACACACACACACACACACACACACACACACACAGACTCTGTACTGGCTGTGGGCCTACTTCTTTACATGCACAGATACCAACACATACATGTGCACATATAAGATGGAGCGTGAAGAGGAGGAGGACACCTCATGCTGTACCCTTGCCTCCATGTTCACACCCACATGCCCTGCCCTCCCCACAAAAAAAAAAAATAACAACACAAAAAAGGAAACACTTACTGATTTGCTTGGAGGTCCTCAATTTCCAGAAGAACCCCCTTTTCATGTAGTCTTGCTGCTGTGTATTTCAGAGAAATCTTTTTGCTTTTCTTGCCTTTCATCTCCCTAGGCTTTTTGGAGACCCTGTGAAAGGTGAAAGCCACATTATGACACTGCCTTTCAGGATTTATCTACTACAAGCCTTAAGCATCATGGAAATGAGGACAGAAGCGCGCACACACACACGCGCACACACACACACACACACACACACCGCAAACCTAAAATGGCAGACAAATGTGAGGACTGGCCCTAGCAATCGTAGCAACGGGCAACATCACTACCTTGCTTCCACCTTTATTTTAAGTTATGCTGGGGAACAAGGCCACAAACGTAAGAGCGTGTGTGCTTCCATGTCATCTGCGGAACCAGGCGCCTAATAAGCCTATGTGAGGGGCAGGCAGATGGCTCAGAGGGCCAAAGCACTTGTTGCACAAGCTGAATGACCAAGTTTGATTTCCAGAGCACAGGTAAAAAGCTGGATACAGTGGTGTGTACCTGTGACCACAGCACTCTCAGTGAGAGGGGGTGGAGCCAGGCAGCCTGCGTCAGACACTTGCTGGCCAGCCAATATGGAGTGCATAGAGCAGTAACAAAGACCCTGCCTCAACAAGATGGACGACCTTTGATTCCCAACAGCAGTCCTCTGACCGCCACACCTGTGCTGTGATTCAACATATACACGCACACAAGCCCAGAGATAAACATTAAAAACAAAAATAAATACTGCTGAGGTGGAGGCAAGAGGATCGGGTGCTCAAGGCCAGCCTTGGCTGCATGGTGAGTTCCCAGCCTAGTGAACTGCCTGAGACTCCCTGCAAAGAAACTAAGTAAGTAAAATGGAATTAAAGTAATTTTTAAGGCCAGGTGGTGGTGGCACACACCTTTAATCCCAGCACCTGGGAGGCAGAGGCAGGTGAATCTCTATGAGTTCAAGGCCAGCCTGATCTACAGAATGAATTCCAGGATAGCCATGGCTACTCAAGAGAAACCCTGTCTTGAAAAATTCAAAACAAACAAAATAGGAATAATGATGATGATGATAATTTTAAGTCACTGTAACTCAAAAAATAAACAATTTTGTTTTTTTGTTTTTCAACACAGGATTTCTCTGTAACAGCCCTTGGTTGTCCCTGAACTCTCTTTGTAGACCAGGCTGGCTTCAAACTCTCAAGAGATCCTCCTGCCTCTACCTCCCGAGTGCTGAGATCAAAGGCATGCATCACCATGCCCAGCAAAAAGAAACATTTCTTTAAAAGATGCATGCATTCTTGCATATATAAAATACAAATAAAACGTCACTATGAAATAATAAAGTCCCTGTAAACCCTGAGTCTTGTGGGAAAAAGACATGATCACATATACGACTTTCAAAAGCTCAAGCAGGCATAGCAATGAGAGAGGACTGAAGTTAAGGAAAAAGAAACATGTTAATGGTCTATCAGGGAAAGTAAAGATGGAAATGCTAAGTAACCATGGGAAGAAGAAGGCAGATACCATCCAGGGATCCTGACCTCAAAGGGGTGTCAGGGGGGTGGGCAGGCTGGTGGGGGGCAGGCTCATGCAGGAGTGGGAATGTGGATGGTCCTTAGGAAAGGCAACTGAAAACAGCCTACGCAGTTGCTCAGAATTTCTACCCATCTACCTATTTCACTTCTAGGAGTTTACTCAGAAAATGCAGACATTTTAAGAGGCCGATGCAGACATTTTAAGCAAAAATGTTAGATTTATTTATTTTATGTGTATGAGTGCTCTGCCTGCCTGTATGCAAGTGTACCACATGCATGTGTGGGACCTGGGTAGGCACTGGATTCCCTGAGACTTGAGTTACAGACAACTGTGGGACTCCACCTGGGTGCTGAGAATTGAGCCCAGATCGACCTGAAAAGCAACCAGTGCTTTTAACCACTGTGCTATCTTTCCAACTTCATCCATCAGTTTTTTTTTTTAAAGAATAATTTTTATTTATTTATGTATGTATGTCTACTGTATGTAATGTCTGTGGAGGCCAAAAGAGTCTATTGCTGGAGCTGGAGTTACAGACAGCTATGAGCTGCCAGATATGGGTGCTGGGAGCCAAATTCCAGTCCTCCAGAAGAGCAGCAAGGGCTCTTAACCACTGAGTCATCTCTCTCGCCCCACAGAATGTTATAACAGTGACCACCCAGAAACGAACGTTCATCCACAGATAACTGAGTAACAGAGCATTGTATCTAGCTACCTCACACCATAGTACACAGCCATTCAAAGTGAAGACCTAGCTGCGTCTGCCTAGAAGGCCTAGAATTGTCAACATGGCAATGAGGACAGCAAGCCACTAGGTCTCAGTTTCCAAACAAAACTAGGGTGGCTTGCATCACTCTCGGCCTGGGTAGAGCAAACACAAATTAAACCTGATACACCGTATGTCAGAAAGCCAGGGAGCACACAAAAACTGACAGGGACAGCCAGAAGGGTACAGGCGTTGGCTCTCCCAGGAGGGCTAGGGGGACCATCTCTCCAGCGCCGGCCCTGCCTCCATCCAGGGAGGATAAGCATGGGTGAGCTGGAGGGCTAGAGTGTAGGAAGCACAACCGAAACCCTAGAGCCTCGTGGGGAGGGCTCATGGGTACCCTGTTCCAGCCTTCCTGAGACCTGAAATTTCTAAAAAGAAAGGGTTGGGAGTTTGCAGTTTCTTCTGTAAAACTGGCAGGCTTGGGTTTGTGGCCAGCACAGGAAAGCTCACCCTGGAGCCTGTGGTCTAGCCTGCAGGCATCAGGAAGCTAAAAGGTTTGCTTAGGAGGTTGGTCAGATTACAGACAGGCCACACAGATGCTGGGACTACAGGTGCATGCCATCATCCTTGGGAGATTTGGAAGGCAAGTTAGTTGGTGCCCTCCCATGATTCTAGACCAAAACTAATGCTGTAGAATAAGAAGTGCTTGGGAATAAGCATCCCGGGGGCCGCTCCCACCTCCCCACATCACACTAGCAGCAAATGGAGCCGGGCAATTACGCAGACATCAAAAGCAAAATAAACAACTAATGCAGTGCGCAGGTCCTAAATGCTGTACTTAAATGTTCAACGTCAGCCGGGCGTGGTGGCACACATCTTTAGTCCCAGCACTTGAGGGATAGAGGCAGGCAGATATGAGTTCGAGGCTAGCGTGGTCTATATATCGAGTTCTGACCATTCAGGTAGACAGTGAGATCCTATCTTAAAAAACTAAAAAGAAAGAAAAGAAAAATTCAGCTATCAAGCCAGCAATATGGCTTGGCAAGTACAAGCATTTGCTTCAAGAGTCTGCAAGCCATGGTAGACAGACCCAACCCCTGCATCACCCTTTGGCCTCTACACACACACACCCTCTCACCCCACAGTACCAACAGTAAATGTAATGAAAAATTCAAACACTTCTTTCATTATCACTCTAGAAGCTGTTTCTTCTTGCCATCCCTCTAATTCTTGCCGCGGAATAATCAAAAACAAAGACTCACTTGCCCTTGCTGGCCAAGTTATCCAAGCAGGTTTTGATATAGCTCTTGTAGTAATCCACCTGCTCTCCGTAAAAGGTGGCCTTGGAGTTCAGAGCCGCATACGTCTGCTGCAGCTTTACCAACTCGGCTTTCCTCCTCTGCCTGTATCTCCGCTGATTCCGGATATCCTGAGACACAACCATGAAGATGAGGAAAATGATGACGGGCACCTGTGCCTCTTGAGCTGTCAATGTTCATGAACACTACCCCCCAACTGGGCTGAACTCCAGTGCGCCTGCCGGCTGTTAACAGGCGGCGACCTCTGTTCTCCACCTGAAGGACACTCAGGCCTCCTTGGCTCATATCCTCAAGCAACCGGGAAGTGCGAGCTCTGATTTGGGGCTTTAGACTTTACTTACAAAGCTGGTCTAAACTTCATAAGCACTCTGTCCTGAGGAGGGGAAAAGAAGGAACCAAGTTCCTTGGCACCAGCAGCGTTACCTCGGTGAAATTAGACTGAGCCCTGGGTTGGGGTGAGTCACACAGACCAATTCAATCACCACCAGCTTTATATATTATGAAAAAGGTCTGACTGGTTCTTTAAGGGCAATGAAAAACTCAGACACCAGAGGCTCTAGTGAAGGCTGTCTCCCCGTTAATTTAGACCATACTAAATATCCACCTCAGGGGAGTGAGGTCCTGGTGTGAGGTCAGAGACTGTTTCTCAGAACTCCTGAAGCAGCTGTAAACAGGGCCAGGCCACCACTGTTCACGCAAACTATACCTTGGCGATGTCATTGATGAGCTCCTGGTATCTGTTCTTTGGGTCCACTGTCCCAAGCTCCGTTAGCTTCTTCAGGCCAGTCTGGATCTTCTCCTTCTTCTCCTGGAGACTGAGGTTGTTATCCTCCTTCATGGGTTTTGACTTTTTCATCTTGTCAGGGGTCTTGGCATCCCGGATAGCGCGTCTCTGCATGGCCCTCTGATGTTCAGCTTCCTACAGATGGGATAAAAATTAAAACTCCGTAAGTTCACCACAGGAGCCCTAAACTTGGCATATCTGCACTCGGAAGCAGAGTTCTCAATGTCTGCTGCAGACATTCCCTCCCTCTACCAAGTGCCAGACAAAGAGCATGAAGAGAGACCTCTCATCCCACCTATAAAGTACATCTGTGAATCCAGAAGCTTGCCTTCCTTGACAGTAGGTATAGTCAGGAGACTAGATTCTAAGCTACAAAATCCTTTATCTTTCCCTAGCTTATTTTAGGATGTTGAAGAAGCCATTGTTCTTCTATTCAGAAATGTGCCTCAACATAACTATACAAACTAATGCTCAGTAAACCCTTGCTAATTCCTCCCAATGCGCAGGCTCCTGCCGCCCTCTGCTCACAAGCAGCTGCAAACACTGGTACCAAAACAAGGATCCCTTCCACCTTAACCTTAGTAGGCCCAGCGGATTCTACTTTAACAACTTCAGCTCTGGGGTTCTAGATAATTCAATCCTTGGCCTTGTTTTTCTCAGAACTGCCCACCCCCTCATCTTCACCCTGATTCATAGTCTGACCTCACTGTGTTCCTCTCTCCCTGGACCCACTGTTCCCTTGGGCTCTCTCGTTTTCTATCACACCAGAATCCCCCTGGTCTTTGAGTGTGGCTTGGGCTCTTCATCAAGAGTTCCTGACACACTGCTCCTCACTGACCTCCACATCGAAATCTGTGTTGTTGTTGTTGTTGTTTGTTTGTTTTTGAGGTAGAATCTCATTGTGTAGACCAGCCTTGAACTCACAGAAATCTTTGCTGGGATCAAAGCCATGCCCACCATAGCTGTCAACTTCCAGCATTTTTGTAATCAATACTATAGTTAATTTCCAATGACCTTATGGTTTCAGATGTATGTATCACAATTTTTCTAACTGGAATTTAAGTTTGAGCCACATGTTACACTTGTATACATACAACCAAGGTCCCTCATCTAATTACATCTATAAGACAGTCATTAAATCACTAGACAGAAGCCGGGCGCTATGGCACACACCTTTAGTCCCAGCACTGAAGGGGGAAGGAGGTAAGGCAAGCAGATTTCTGTGAGTTCAAGATCAGCCTGGTCTACAGAGTGAGTTCCAGGACAGCCAGGGATACACAGGGAAACTCTCAAAAAACAAACAAACAAACAAACAAACAAACAAAAATTCTGCCCCAGATTAAATCCTCATTCACCCTCTATTCTGTTCCTCTCCTTCCTGTCCATTTCTCTTTTCTGTCTAAGGGAAAGGGAGGTTCATGCCCTAAGAACACCTGGATTCAGGAGTCACCAACCTTCCCACACAGATGAGCCCTAATTATTACTGTCCTGAATTAGACCCATGCGTATCCGAGGGCCCAATACCTTCCCTATCTCCCCCGCCCCGTCCAGAAATGCATTTATCATAGAAGAGCTTATTCTGTTAGGAAGATGAGCATGAAACCTCCATCTGTACCTGTTCACTGGTGGCTGGGGTTTCTAGGATTTCAGTCAAGGTCTCTCCTGGCTGGAACCGGATGACATCCACAATTAAACGTTTTGTGCTGCAACGAGATGGGAAGGTGTTTCAGCACAGCTGTACACTCCTCACTGGATCTAAGCAGCAGCTGAAGCACCATCACCACCACAGATGCCTTTCCATGGCGGCAGTTACTGCACAAGGAACAGGGAACTACAACAGAGGGGTTCAGGGGACTGTTCCCAAGACCATAACTGTATAATATTAGCAGAGTAAGTCCTGAGCCAAGCACAGGACAGGGGGATAAGAACTATGATGGGCAGGAGGCCAGGATGGATGCTCCAGGTAAGACCCAGCGAATCGGGTTCCAAGACCCTTCCTTCTCCCTTTCAACACTCACTTCAGCAAGATGGTCCGAGCATCCATCTCTGCATTCTCATCTCCAGGCACATCAAACTTGTTGGCCAGTGTGAGAGAGACTTCTGTCTTAGCCAGTGCCTCCTTATTGGAGTCATTCAAACTGCCGCAACTTTCTCCTGCAGTTTTGGGAGCGCAGAAAGAATCAATGTAATAAAAAGACACTATAATAATACAATAATACAAATCATATATTACAAATAAATAATACAATAAATATAACTCAGGTCCAATATGACTCTTGATAAGCCAACATATGAAGCACAGACTTTATTGAGAGGTAGAAGAAAAGATGCCAAATGGTTAAGGAAGAGTCCATACTACAGAAACTTCATGTAACACACATGTCAACACGTGTGAAAACTCATTTTGCTGGGCATGGTGGCTTACGCCTTGAATCCCAGCCCTCAGGAGACTGAGACAGGTAGAACGCTGGGAATTTGAAGCCAACTTGGTCTTTTAGTGAGTTCCAGGCCAGACAGGAATACAAAGTGAGACACACCTCCCCAACTCCCCACCCTCATCTCAAAAAAGTTTCAACAATGTAACATTGAAATTCTCTCTCAAAACAGCCTTTCCTTTATAAGACATACTTTCTAATTATATGCTAATTTTTGCCTTTGACAAAAATTGTCTTTTGTATTTGACAGTATCTTTCACTGGACTCAGCTCCTAGTAGATGAAGTCTACACTGGTTTTGTTTCCCACGTGTGTCTAGAATTTGGTACAGTGCAAAATCAGAGACACATGACAATAATCCTGACATGTTCTCCTTATGACAATAATCCTCTGACATGTTCTCCTTATGACAATAATCCTCTGACACGTTCTCATGACAATAGTCCTCTGAAACGTTCTCCTCGAAGCTCTTCAATAGCTAATGTTGAGAATGTTACCTATAAGGGACTCAATGGTGGGCACCTCCCCAAGGTCGTCCAGCAGTTCGTGGATGGGGTCATTGTGCTCTGGAGCAATGGCGTCTTGATGGTCCAACAGGAGCTGCAAAGAATGAGGGATTGATTCCACTTACACCCTCAACCCTCTGTCCCCACCGGCAAGGCCTAACAGGGATCTGCACAAAAGAGGCCCAAACTGCCGCATCCAAAGGACAAACCAGCTACCCTAGCAAGCAGCACGAGGGGCCGAACAGCAGCCAGGACTTCACAGACAGCATACACTGCGAAACACCAGGAGAGTCTGGCCTGGCCCCCTCCACCTCCTCCTGACCATAAGAGATTCGAATGCTCCCTGGCTAAGACTAAATTCATTCACCAACACCAATACAGCAACATACTGAAATCTGGACATAGCTTGCTTTGTTGTTGTTTTGTTTTGTTTGTTTTGTTGTTTTCTTGCACTGAGTTTTAAACTCTGCCAACATACAGTATCTTTTTATTCAGAAAAAAGTATCCAGACCTAAGCTGTCGTCATTCTCAGTGCCACTCAGTAAAGCCTCATGCATGCTTCTACCCCAGGTAAAGTCTTCAGTGGGGACAGAGCCTGAAATCCATCACATTTTACATGTGTCATCACATATGTAATTCTTGATCTACATGTCCCCGAAGGGAGAAGAAAACTGTGTTTGAGAATCCCTATAAACAGGGAGCTTCCAAACGAAAAAAACCCACAGCCACAGAGAAAGAAGCCGGTGCTCTCGATCACGTGAGAGGAGTTGGGACAAATGGCTGGTATAAAGGAGGGCATTTTATCAAGCCACTAAGTCTGTGCTCCCAGAGCACTTTTTGGAGTCCATTCCTAGGGTTCTAGGTCACGTGGCTGGCAAACTTTTCCTTGTCAGCATGGACATCCTGAGCAGGCGGCTTAGGAATAAGTTGCAGAGCAGCAGGTACTTGGAGTATGAAGTGGGACGGGGGTGTCGCCCAGAGGCGGAGCGCTCGGCTCGCACTGGGTCCTGGATTTGATTCCCTAACCATCAAGGAGCAGCAACAGCAAAGGAACAGAAAAAAACAAGGCGCTGTAGTGTCAGCTGAGATCACAGCAAAGGGAGACGCCCGGCCGGGCGCGGAAGCAGGTGCCAGGGAAAGTAATCAAGGGCAGTGGGAGGAAATGAGGCACCTGAGAGGCCACTTACAGTGTGGGTGTTGATGATTTCGCCAATGGAAATGTAGATGACCGGCTTGGTGAGGGTGACTAGGTCAGAGTACTCATCCACGTTAAATTTATCCTGCAGCTCTGGGACGTCGCAAGCGGTTTGGAAAAACCGTCTGAAAGTAAGCACCAGCAGGTGGCATTGGCATGGCAGCCGTGGAAAGGACCCTCAGACCCTTCCAGCACTGTGTTCAGACACAAGCCAGCCCTGACAATGGAATCCTAGAAGAGGCTGCGCGTTCGCTGCTCACATCTGCCTGGCAGCCCGGGGACGCTCAGCCCTCCAGCCGGCTATACTTCACCCACTCAACCGGAACTTAAAATGGCTCTCAAATGCCTGCGTGTTTACCTCTAAGAAACCTCCCCAGGGACTCCATTCAAAGGAAGCATTAATTTTCAAATATCAAAAGCCCTCTGCAGTTTTTCTTGATTAGAGTGAGCATGAGCTTAATGTACCAGCACTTTTTTTGCATCAAGTGCTAGCCACTGCACGTGGAGATCTTCCTGGTGCATGCCTCCACTTCTGGAGGCCTTGAGCCTTTCACACACATCCTGCATCTCAGCACGTGGGGAAGGGAGGGGGACATCTGATCTAACCTTGCCTTTCCACTCAGATGAAAGCACGCCCACAGGCTCTCCCGAGAAGCATCCACTCCGCCCCTTACCTGAATTTCTGGTAGGACTGAGAGAGATACTCGTTAATGATGCTTAAGTGGGCATTATCTCCCAGAAACATCTTGTTGGACGCTGCGTGCTGGAGCATCTTTGCAATGGAGCCCAGATTCCTGCGCTGGTCAGTGGTGAGCTGGCCCCCTGCTGACAGGTCGATGATGTCAAAGGCATCAGGAGCGACGATAGCTGGGTTCATGTAGCGGTAGTAAAGCAGGTTACCGATGATCTGAAACAGAAACACAGGCCTTAAAGACCACGGCGCTGAGGATGACATATGTGCTGTTGCTAGCAATGAAAATGAGAAAGTGCAGTCCTGTGAGGAAAAGGCAAACAAACAAACAAACAAGAAAAAAAACCACACACTGACATGCACACATGCACAGACACTTCCCTTCAAGACCTAAAACTCAAAATAAAGTTTTGCGGGTATAGGGAGAATAAGAGAACGGAAAACTACTGCCAGAGATGAATGAAAGAATGGATTTAGAACGTGTAAGTGGCACTTAAGGTGTGTGACCCAACACTTGAGGACGTCTTTTGTTTGCATGTTACAGTAGCAGCTAAGGCTGCTGTCATCCACCTGCGGTTTTGGTTTCTGTAGGCAGACTTTATGAAGCTATGCAGCTCAGCGAAAGAAAACCCTTAAAATGCCCTACGGAGCACACAGCCATCCGCCCCACCCCCACCATCCACATGCTGCAGACTGCAAAGGCCACGCTCATGCCTCTGTAACGAGATTCACTCAACACACATCTCTTCCACAGGAGAACTCAAGGACAATCATGGCATCTCCCCTAGAGTTCCAGAAAAAAATAAAATTAATTCACCTGAACAGAAAGTCTAGAACCGAGGCCTCACTGTAGGAAAGCACAGAACTAGGAGAGAGAAGAGAGAGAAAAGCGTTCAGATTAAAAAAAATAAATAGAAGGGAGTACAGCCGAGTAAGAAGAGCCAGCGGCAAAGACTTAGGAGCATTCGTGCTTGCTGCTATTCGCCTGGCCACCAGGAGAGGGAGCAATGCTTCAGAGAAAAGAGGACTCAGGAAAAAAAATGCAACTTGCTATACTTCAGGTGTACATTGTATGCCTTTCAAAATGAATAGGCACTATCTGATTAGAAGGGCCATCATCTTCTATTTACAGCTGCTTCTGGTGCTCACAGTCAAGGACAAGCAGCACCAGACTATCTGCCCAGGCACTTCCTGCCGGACTATGGTCAGGAGGTTTCTAACCTGCCTCTACCGTCTGTAACAAGGGCAGGAACCCGGCAGGTCTCAGGTTCTTACCTTCAGCAGCTCGTCCTCACCAGCATCAGGGAACTTCTCGTGGAGCGAATCCTTCAGCACTTTGGCAATGAAGCGCATCCCGTAACTGTGGGGTGGACAGAAGAGGGCAAGGTCAGGCCGCAGAGCACACCAGCATGCCGGGCTTTATTTGGAGTCACAGTGGATGGCACTCACGGGATTTTGTCCACAGAGCTGATGATAGCTGAGAGGAACTTGTCTGTCACGGCCCTCATGTTCCTGATGGAGTTGTCTAGCCTTGTCTTCACTTCTTCATGAGACAAGGCTTGCTCAGGGGTCACATCATAGGGCAGCTTGCTGAGAAAACAGAAATGACCCCCAGCAATGTTAGACCAACACTCAGGAATAGTTGGAGGCAGGAAATTCGTCTTTTATAAATAGAAAGGCAGAAAGTTTAGCTAACTTATGCTCCTCTGCACAGAGCTGGTAAAAGCTAGGGCTAGAATTTGAATTTGGGTTTCCAACTGTGAACTGGATGCCTTGTGTCATGTGTAAGACACACTGATAAGCACTTAGCAACAAAAAAGTATTGTACCTCCTCTTGAGTCTCTCACAGCACCACGGGCATGCTACATGGCTGGAGGTGAGGTCAGTGATACAGCACTCACCTAGCACCCCACTGCCCTGCGTTAATCCCCAGCAATGAGGGAAAACAATGCTTATAAACAGTGAGCTGATCAGAGGTGTTGCAGGCCTCAGGGGGACAGTCTGTTCAGACTGGAGAAAGGAAGGAAGGCTCCCAATCCCAAGGACAGACATCTCAACTCAAGAAAAAGGAGGTGAGGGGTTTTCCAGGAGCTAGGTCAGGGATCAGGCCCTGGAGGATCCTATATATACCACGTCTGGACTTGGCTCGGAAGCCAGAAGTAGCCACTAAAAGTTAAAAGTTCTGGAGCTTCGCGATGCCTCAGCAGGTTGAGTGTTGTCATGCAAGCCTGGGACCTAAGTTCCATGCCCAGAATCCACAGAAAGGTGGACAGAGAAAACCAACCTCACAAAGTGGTCCTCTGACCTCCATGTGCCCCCCCCCCCCCCCCCAGATACACACACACACACACACACACACACACACACTTTTAAATGAAGTTCTACATTTTGAGGAGAAAGGCTGGCCTTGTGGTGAAGAGGCAAGATTCCTCACCGTAAGGAATAAATTAAAGATGGACAGACAGATACAGATGAGAGGTGTGGAAACCAGTGTCCAGCTTGACCCAGAGCTGATGAGTATGAACAAAGCCACAGGTGCAACAACAGTGGAGGCCTGGGACCTGGGACCTGGGACGCTACAGGAGACAGTCAGACACAGGAACTGGATCACTGAGTTAGGAAGATGAGGCTGGCGTGAGAGCTGTGGATGGAGGCCAGTCCGCACACTGTTTGTCCAGCACACACCGAGCCCTGGGTTCAATGCCCAACAGCACATAAATCAGACCCTCTCCGTGAGTGCATGCTTGGGAGGTAGGCGTGGGAGGACGGAGAGTTCAAAGCCGTCTCCAGCTATATAGTGAATTTAAGGCCGGCCCGATACACAAGGGCTTATCCGGAAGAGAGTGGGGGAGGGGGAAGAAAGCCTGACGAGCGTGAGAACAGCAGCTGTGCTGCAACATGGCCTACACTTAACGAGAAGGAAACGAAGACAAGGAGTTGAAAGACCGAAGACATGTAGGTTCTGCTCTTTTCAAGGTTAAAAAAAAGCAAAGGTTATCTTAGATTATCCAAGTGATCTGGAAATATAAACCAGGTGTGCTAATGAGATATACAGGGGAGAGAAGGGCAACCAGGGAGGCAGAGATTACAGTCACAGGGCCACAAGTCAAGAAGGGCCAAAGGCCACCAGAGATTGAAGGAGCCAAGGAACAGATGGTCCTTGCTGACACCCTGATTTGAGCCCAGTGATTTATACTTCCAGAATTTTGATAGATTAATTCCATCTGCTTCAGTTACCAGAGTGTGGCGAGCTGGTTAGTCACCATGGGAAACAGACAACTGTCACCGCCTGCTGAACGACATCCAGTACAGAATTTGTAACGGACAACAAAATAGCGTGGGTTTCACTTGTAAGCCGTCTGTTGTCTCTTCTACACAGTGACACTCACTGCAACCTTACAGTGTTTTTAAGAAGCAGTGCTGCTGGGAAGTATGGCAAAGCAGAACGCTGCCCGCTACATACAAGGGCCTGGGCTTGAGCCTCAGCATTGCACAAAAGTTAACAAATACAACAGAAAGAGTAACAAGTGAAAAAACTGAAACCGCAACGAGCAGAGGTTGCAGTCAAAGTAAAAAATACTGAGAAAGGAACTTTTTTTTTCCTGGGTTTTCCAGGACAGGGTTTTTCTGTGTCGCCCTGGCTGCCCTAGAACTAGCTTTGTAGACCAGGCTGGCATTAAACTCAGAGATCCAGCTGCCTCTGCCTCCTGAGTGCTGGGATGAAAGGTGTGAGCCACTACAGCCAGGCTTGAGGAGAGGAGCTTTTTAAGACTATGGAGATGATACTTCTCTTTAAGTGGTGACAAGGTCTGAGTCTGTCCTGTTGGGTAAAGGGAAGTAGAAGGGAAAAGGCTGGAGACCCATGACGCCTAGCTGCTGGGTAGCCTCCCACACCTCACAGGTAGCGGGACTAAAAAACAGTCAATTTCCATTTTAGGAAAATCAGGAGACACAAGTTTCTTACAGTCACCAACGAGAAAAAACACTTAACTGGCCAGAAGAATTCCAATTTGTAAATGACCTGATCACTGATCACTGGACGAAGTAAGTTAGTGGCCTTGCTCATGGGGCTGCTAGCTAAGGATGGCCTGGCTGACAGGCCAAACTACCCAGACAAAGATGGAGTAGAGGCAGGTGGTAGAGCAGAGAGATGAGCTGAGTGGTTCAATTCCCAGCACAAGAAGAAAAAAAGAAAGACAAGGAAAGTTTTCATGATGTCCAGAAAAGGTTGAAATCCGGGTGACAGACTTACAAAACGCTAAAATCAATGGTGTGCCTTAATGACACAGAAGACTTTGTGACATGTCTACAAGTGACACGTTTTTTTGGTTTGGTTTGGTTTAGTTGAGGGGTCTCACTCTGTAGCTAACTCTGAATACCTGCCTCATCCTCCACAGTGCTGGCTTTCCACGGCTGAGCCACCATGGCTGGCTTGCAGGCTGAATGGCAATGGTGTGAAAAGCTATTCCACTAAGCACCAATGAGCTTCCTGCCAACTAATCCGCCCCAGACAAAAACCAGAGACCAAGTACGCAGCACAGCCCTCTGAGCTCCCCGCCCACAAGCACTGTCCAAATCTGACTGACAAGCTTTTGCTTTAGATGTGTTTAGGTTGGATACTCTGGCACACTCAGCTCCCCTAACGCATGCATTGGTTTGGCTCAGCTCTCAGTACCCCATTTACACCCCATCTTCTCCAGCTCAACTGCATGGCCTTCCTGTTCGGCTGCTCCAGCTACAGTCTCGGGGGCTAGGCCCTCCCAGAGCAGGGTGTTCAGACATGCACACTCCGCTCTTACAATCTTATCCTGTGGGGCCAGCTAGGAGAAGTCCCACCCCAGCAGGTTTCCCTTAGGCCTGTCAACATTAATGCTCTCTGTACTCCGGGAGAATACCTTACAAAAAGTTTTTTAAACCATTCCTCAAATGCAATTTTTATTTACCTGTTTGTTGGCTCTGTTCCCCAATAAACTATGAAGGGGTGAGGGGGTGAGTCTGTTTCATTCACTATTATAGTTTTATCATTTGTTTCTTTTTATTATTCTAGGGGAGAGGTGTGAGGCACAAAGCACACGTGGAGGTCAGAGGGCAACTATGTGGAGCTGGTGCTCTCTGCCTTACATGGACTCTGGAGATGGAATTCAGTTCTCTGGGAATGCTCAGGAAGGGCCCTTACCTGCTGAGCTATCTCATCCACGCCTTGACCACTGGTTTATCCTACGTGAATTTAACAGTGCTGGTATAGAGCAAGCACTCAATAAGCATTTGCTAAATAAGTGAACTATCAACAACTTAAAGCATAGTTCTCAAAGGAAAAGTTGAGTGCATGTGTCTGTGTGCGTGTGTGTGTCTGTCTGTCTGCTGTGTAGTCTACGCTAACCTGGAACTCACTGTGTAGCTAAGAGTGACTTTCCTGCCTGCAGATACCAAGCACTGAAATTATAAATGTGAGCCACCATGCTGGCAGGAAATGTTATTTGAACAACTATTTTGTAAGCAGAAAGCAACTGCATTTTAAAAAAGATACAGGAAACAGTAAATACACGAAAGAAAGGTATGAGGATTTTTATACCTTGCCTCTCCAGTCTGTGACTCCATCTGATTAACCCAAGACTTATAAATATCCACGGGGTCAGTTTTGATGTTGAGAGACTTGTCATCCATAATTTCTTTCACAACAGGGGCCAAGATCTGCCGCAGGGCATTCTGGCCTCGGGCACCCCGGTTGAAACTCACAACCATCTTAATAACCGTAGGGTTTCCTGTCACGATTTCTTGAATTTGATCCACCTTTGACCTATGAGATGTGAAACACAAATTAAATTTAATCTCTTTTTTTTATAAGTTTTTTTTTAAATATATATTTTGTTTATTTATTATGTATACAATGTTCTATCTGCTTATACACTTGCACGCTAGAAGAAGACACTGGATCTTATTATAGATGGTTGTGAGCCACCATGTGGTTGCTGGGAATTGAACTCAGGACCTCTGGAAGAGCAGCCAGTGCTCTTAACCTCTGAGCCATCTCTCCAGCCCTAAATTTATCTATCAGCTTGCAGGAGGTCTTGTGAGAACAGATCCAGGCTTCCTCTAGAGGCATTCCCAACATTCACAGAACCTTCTGGTAGCTGCTCACACAGAGGTGCCAGTCAGGACTGGAACCTTCACATAAAGGACCAGTATTATAACCTCATTTTTTCCAGAGATAAGGTCTCTCTGTGTAGCTGAGGCTGGCCTCAGACTCATGCCTCTGCCTCCCAGAAATACTCTGTGTTTTATCTGAGACAGGCCTATGATTTTCTTGCCTCAGCCTCCCGAATGCTGGCATTACAGGTGAGGATACCATGCCTGGCTCTTTCTTTCTTTTAAAAATTATGTGTAATCTGGGCGCAGTGGCGCATGCCTGTAATCTCAGCACTTTCGGAGGCAGAAGCAAGTGGATCTCTGAGAGTTCAAGGCCAACCTGCTCTACAAAGTGAGTCCAAGATATGCAAAGCTACAAAGAAAAAACTGTCTCAAAAAAAAAAAAAAAAAAAAAAAAAAAACAAAAACCAATTTAATAATAACAGTAATAATAGCAATAATAATAATAATAATAAGACCCTGGGTGTAAAAACCTGTTTTGGGCATTAACCTCTAGAATGTTGGGATCTCAGGAGGGTACCACCATGCTAGGCAGTTACCAACACTTTATAGTAGCTCTTTCGAAAGTGGATACTTTTTTCTAAGTTTATTTAATTATTATGCACGCCAGAAGGGACACCAGATCTCATTCTAGACGGCTGTGAGCCACCATGTGGTTGCTGGGAATGGAACTCAGGCCCTTTGGAAGAGCAGCCGGTGCTCTTAACCTCTGAGCCAGCTCTCCAGCCCACGTGGAGACCTCTAAAGAGAGTATTTCTCACAAAGTGGAACGGAGGAAAGGCAGAGGTCGTCTAAACCATGAGCACCTCCAGTGACGCGCCTACCCAGCCCCCGTCCGTACTTGATCTCCTCCTGGAGTGCGGTCTTGAAGAGTCGGAGCAGCAGGTATTCCTCTCGCTGGTTGGATGCGTAGTTGTACAGTGTGAAGATGACAGAGTCCATGAACTTGGTAGACTTGTTCTGAGGCATCTGAAAGATCAGCTTGGCCAGATATGTAGGGTTGGTCTGAAATAAAATCCACAGATCAGAAACTTCTACATAATACACGGGCTGTTTTTTTGTTTGTTTGTTTTGTTTTTTTTAATTCATGCTTTTTTAAAATAATTTTTTGAAATTATAATTCTGTCATTTCCCGCCTACCCATCCCTCCCCACAATCCCTCCTATATACCCACCCTTGCTCTCTCAAACTTATGGCCTCTTTTTCTTTAATTGTTGATATATTAAATACATTTTCAGGGCTGCTAGTTGGTACTGGATACCCAGTTGGTGAGAAGACTGTTTCTCCTGCTGTCAGCTTCTTTAGCCGCCTGTAGTTCTTTGTCTAGGTTTGAGGCCTCCTGAACTTTCCCTCCTAAGTTCATGCTTTGTAAAACTACAAGGATTGCAATATACAGAAGGAAAACAAGACAGCCCTTCACATATCCCTCAGTGGAAACCAGGTAAGACTTCCCAAGGGATCTCTGGGCAGGTTTCCCCACAGTAAGTAAATCAAGCAGGCTTTACACAGCCGGTCCCAGGAGCCACTTACTTGCAACAAATAGAACAGATGCTGATAGGCCTCCAGCTTCTCCCTCTTCTCCTTGCTCAAAGCCTTGAGACCTCCCTTCTGCTTGTTTATCATCATCATATCAGACAGCTGTTCCTTATTCTTTTTGGTAAGTTTTTTACTATGGGAAACCACATCCTAGAAATAAAAAAAAAAAAAAAAAACAAAACAACTCACTGTGATCAAAAGGCTTCCAGAGCAGAAACATGGGGCGCTGTGAAAAAGCACTTCTGCGCCTGTATAACTGCATGGGCCACACCGGCCAATCCCCGCTACACAACACTTTTTATGCTGTTTCCCATATCTCAATCTACTACTGCCACCTTGGTGCAAACAAATCCAAGCAGGGATTTTTCTCCATGAGGGGTCAGAAGGGAAATTGTCCATGCAATCAGGAAACCAATTTCTAGGAATTGATCTTAAAATCATGACTCTTTTTTTTTAAAAATAGGATCTCATGTACCCCATGCTGGCCTTCTCTGTGGCTAAAGATGACCTTGAACGTCTGATCTTTTAGCTTCCATTTCCCAAGTGCAAGAATTAAAGACTCGCACCACCATGCTTAGTTTATGCAATCTGTGAAGTAAAACCCAGGGCTTCAAGTATGCCACTGACTAAGACAGATCCTAGCCTTTAAGAACATGTCTTAAACCAGGAGTGGTGGTGCGTACTTTTAATCCCAGCACTTAGGGAGGCAGAGTCAGGTAGATCACTGTGAGTTCAAGGCCAGCCTGGTGAGTCCAGCAGAGCCAAGGCTACACAGAGAAACCCTGTCTTGAAAAACAAAAACAAAGAGAGTATGTCTGAAGGGGTAGAGCTACAGCTCAGGAGCAGAGCGCCTGCCCAGCATGCTTAATACTCTGGGTTTGGTTCTAGTATCACAATAAACAGACAAACATGTAAACAGTTAAGCTTTTTAGCTGTTTATTGTGGCATTTGCCTGTAATCCTAGTAACTCAAGAGGTCGAGGCAAAAAATTACAAGGTTGTCCAACTTATCAAGACATTGTCACAAAATACAATTTACAAAAAGCTAGGTAGGAGGCAATTTGGATATGTAGCTCAGCCTACCTTGTTGAAGCCTTGGTTCAATTTTCCATACTATCTAAAACGAATAAACAAATGAACAACCAGAAGTCTGTTGAGGGCTTGAGAGATGGCTCAGTGGTTAAGAGCCCTAGCTGGTCTTTACCAGAGGACCCAGATTGTATTCCTAACACCTATACGGCAGCTTACAACCTTCTGTGATTACACTTCCAGGTGATCTGACACCTTCTTGGACACTAGGCATGCATGTGGTACACAGATATATAAGCAGGCAAAACATATACATATATATATATATATATAGCCACACATATAAAATAATTCCTAAATTGGGGGGGGGGGGTTAAAGAGACAGCTCGGTAGGTAATGGCACTTGCTGCCAAGCCTGGCAACTGGAGTTTGAGCCCCAGGTCCCAACATGTTAAGAGGAAACAAGGTGCGACTTGTCCTCTGACCTTCACATATACCCAAACATATTAAATAATAAAGAAATAGCCTAAACTCTAAAATGCCTAAAGTTTAAAACCCTAAAGGACAAAATGATCCAAAATATAATTCTGGAACAAAGTCAGCTAGGACAGTGTCACCACTGCAGTCCTAGCTATGCGGAAGATGGCAGGATGGTCCCGGAGCTTAGCAGTTTCACAGAGACCTTGTCCTAAAACACACAGGTCTTCAGTATAGTTGGACATTGATTGGGATGTTGCTTATAATAATAATATAGAAAAAAACCTCACATGGACACCAGAGGGACAAATGAAGTGATTCACTGAATCAAAACATAGAGATAGTGTAAGCAAGCACAAACCAAGAGCACCAAATGATAGTGGGTGGAGTCAGAAGAGGATGAGCTCAGGAGAAAGTCAGCCTCCATGCTCTCTGCTAGGAGGAGGGAGGCAGGCCCTCGAGCAGCACAGCGCACTCATGCTGGCCGCGGACACCAGGCCACACCTGCAACGTGATCTTGTTCTTCACCAGCAGTCCGATTTTGATATCCATGAGATTGAGGTCATTCTCCAGCTGCTGGTTGGAACGGATGAGAGTGATGACCTCCTCTCGCATCTTCATAAGATCAAGTTCCTCCTGAAAGTCCTGATCACTTTGGTCCAGGAGGTGGACAAACTTCCGGACCACAATCATAGGCGGATCCTCAGCATTGACTGACAAAGAAAATATGAATCAGACAAAGATCCAAGTTCCCAGAAAACACTTGAGTCTGAGGGAGGAGGATCAGTCCTGTTGTAAAGCTCTAGTGACAATGAGACATTAATACTCGGGTCTGAGAGGCGTTAAGACAACCACAAGTGCAGTTCCTCAGTAGTGTTATTGCTGTGTTACCACGGGGCTGCACGGGCAAGCAGCAAGACATCGAGCCATGTGTTAGCAGAGCGGCTTCATCCCAAGCGGCACCCTTCCCCCAAGCCTTGCCTTCAGAACAACCAAAGAGATCCGTGGAGTGTGCCCAGGACCTGAGGGCTCCCAAGCACTGCCTCAACTCTTCACTGAGCCACGGTTACTCACTGAGGGTCTTGTAGTCATCACGAGCTTTGTTTGCGCGAATGAAAGCCTGGATTTTGATAATGTCATTTATCTGAGGGACAAAGAGGAGATCCCTTTACTCATTTGTACACCATGTACACAGAGGAAGGTACCGGACTAGCCTGCTGGACCTAAGGACACTTACGTGGTCTCGGAAATACTGCAGGCGATCTCTATAGCGCTTTCTAGCTTGGTGCATCCTGGCAAGGGACTGGATCTGTGAAACAGGGAGCCGGGCAGTTAGAGGAGGCCTTTCTCAACATGTTAACCCTCCAGGCCACGTGGACGAAGCCTGCTGGGCCACCATACCTTCACAACTTCATCTTTATGGGAGTGCAGGTAAGCCAGCCGGTCTTGATATGCCTTCTTCTGCTTGTATCCCCTCCACTGAGACTAAAAGCACCAGAGAGCACACGGCATTATTGTCACAGAATCAGTGCAAGTTTTAAAAACCCTCAGATTGCTATTCTCTAAGCAGTTTCCCGGTGACGCTGTAGGAAGAAGCGCCTCTCCACCAGGTAGACCATACCTCTACCCGGAGATCACAACAGCCACGTTCTACTTCCCCGACACCAGGAGAACACTGCACATGGTTCTATTTGGGGCTTTGGTACTGGCGGACCCAACCTATGGCTTTGTGCACACTCCGCATGTCCTCTAGCACCAAGCTACATCTCCAGCCCGCACTTGTCACCATCTTAAAATGCAGTCACACCTGTTCACTTATTTGTTATCCTTACAGTTATCAGATGAGAGAGAAACACATTCATATACCCATTTCACAGATAAGGAAACTTAAGAGACCCACAATGTCTAACATCAAAGGAGCCAAAATTCCTAATTCCATTTTTCCTGTTACTCCCACTGAAGCACTCTTGTTTTCTTCATTGTGACGATAATACCATCACTATTATTTCTGTAGAGTGCAAGTACTGTCTACAGACACAGTGAAAGCAAACATGAAATCGTGCTCCCTAATGCCTCTTGCCACCAAAGCACAGCGATTATAGTGTAACCAACAGGAGGTGACCATCCAAAGATGAGAAACAGAGGTCACAAGATACACACTTACACCTTCAATTTTATAGTGTGACAGTTTACTCCTCCTGTTCTAGAGGCCTGCCCGCTGTGTGAAGTACCTGAATGCAGGTGATGGCAGGAATCTGTTTCTTCAGAAAGTTCATGCGGGATCGGAATTCCTGTCGGACGAGGTAGCCGCGGCAGCAGGCTTGCAGCTTGGTGATCAAGCCTTCGTTGGCCAGCCAGAGCTGCTCTCGGTTATAGGCAGCAGTCACGCCAGAGATGGAGCCCTGAGAAAGCACTCGGTCACATTCAGGGACAGACGATAGGCACCAAACATCACCCAGAGCGCACAAGCTGGTTTCACCCCGCTCCCAATCTACCCAATCTTGAGTGGGCTTTTGCTCAGCAGCCTAGAGCATTTTGGACTGTTACTACGGTGATGGGCAACAGGAAAACTTTCAAAGAGAAGAAGAAAAGAATCAGATTTCGTTTTAGGAGAACAGCGCTGTTGGGACAATAGCTGAAGAGAAGGAGCTGTGTTAAGTGTGCCACCCTTCACCTCCACATCCACTTATTTTTGTTTTTGAGACCAGGTCTTAGTATGTAGCCTGAGCTCGCCTTTAACTCTTATCATCTTGCTTCAAACTCCCAAGTACTGGGCTTACAGGTGCACCGGAGGACACGCCCAAAGGCACACACTTGCGTGCCCGCACAGATGTGTGCGTGCACAGGAAAAGAAGTTTGAAGTGAGTATGAATGAGATGAATTAGAATGCTACTGTTGTGAGCCCAGGAAGAGGTTCCTGGGCTTGAATGAGGCCGCAGCTGTGAGAACGTTTAAGAACATCCATTTATCTGACTACCTACCAATATGCCCTCCCTCTTTCCTTAGTATTAGTAACGTTTTTTTCTGGCCCCTGGCATGCACACCAAAATCACAGTGTGCTGCGTGCTTTGGGAAAGCTCACAGAGAGAGCTGAGCGCATGCCCTGCTGCTCACCCTAGGGAGGTTCTAAGAGCAAGAGAGCAGGAAAACCGAAGGCTCCGAGAACTCTGAGGTCATGGGGCCACCACATCTTCCCTGAATGGTGGAGGGCCAGAATTACCTTCTGGAAGAGGGACAAAACCCCTTAAGCCCTAGTTTCAGTTTCTGTTCTTCTGTGTGTCTATTTAGGATGGCAGTGTCTGAGGTATCGGGTTTCTATATGGAAGGAGGATGGTGCCGAAGAGCAAAGATACGGAGGCACAGCCCAACCACAGCACACAGGTGAGAGCAGGAGGCTTGGATGAGATCACGGTTGTGTTAGCACTTAATGCCTTACAGTGTCCTCTCTAATCACTACCATGCCTGTAAGGAGAGGAAGGAAGTGATGGAGAGCCAGTGGCCAAGCCAGGCAGAAGCAGAGACACGGCAGCAAGAGAAATGCTGGAAGGGCACCAGAAGCAGAAGATCTGGAGAAAACTGCAGGGAGGTTCTGCAGAGACTTCCTAAGGCATCTGGCAACTCAAACAAAGGCTGTTCCTGGATCCTAAAGAAAGCATTTTCACGAAAGATGCCACACGACAAGCTACTCTGTTGGGAGCTGAGAGTATGGCAACAGGGTGAACTGGGGCAGACTAACTCTTAAGACAGAGTCTGAATTTAAGTTAGGTCAAATCAGAGAAATCCTATGAACTTTGCCTTTTTTTTTAAAGACATGGTCTCTCTGTCCCCCTGGCTGTTCTAGAGCTCACTTTGTAGGCCTCAAACCCACAGACTTCCGCCTGCTTCTGCCTCCAGAGAGCTGGGATTGAAGGCGCGCCATCGCCACCGTGGTTGGCTGCTTTTCTAACTTGTTCTGGGTAAGGAAGAGATGCTCTGCATGGGGGCCGATGCCTATAAGCGCAGTCCTTAGAGCAGCAGCAGCACTGCTAGGAACTAGTGAGAAACGAGGACTCCAGGCTCTGCCTTTCACCCACACCCGGCACTTTAAATTCAGACTAGTATAATAAAGGAAATATGAGGAGTCAAGACTTGCAGGAAGCAGAAAGGATGGTAACAGACGTGAGGCAATGGCATGCCAGTGAGCTTTGGAAAGGAACGGTGTCTCTCCTAGGGCAGACAGTGAAGGATCAAGTGATATCCAGCACGATGCGCAGAGGGGTATGGGAGGTGCCATCCCACTTCCCCGACTTCTAGGAGTAAGGGATTAGGACTTCTAGGAGTAAGGGATTAGGCCGTGTGCCACAAATAAGGGAACATCACTCCCTCGAACATCACTCCCTCGTGACAGTTCTTACACCCACATGCAAAGTGCTGCCTAAGCCTGGCTGTGCCTAAAGAGGGTGGGGAGATGCTCCAAGGTGAGAATCACTAGCTGCAGCCTCCAGTCCTCAGCGCTGACTGGTCCCCACCTGAGTCACTGTGGCCTCTTCAGCTGCACCTGCCAGTGAGCAGCATGTGTATCTTTCCTCCCCCGTCCTGGTTTTTCCACCCTCAGTGACTTTCCTCACTCTAGGCTTTCCATCCCGAACATTCTTTCCTCTTTACTCAGCTGTTAAAAGTGTCACTCAGGCTGCCTTCCCCCGGGCCAGAATTAAACTTTGCCCTAACGTTTCCATGACAGCACCATGCTAGAGCCTCGGACCCTGCCTATACTCACTGGCTCTGTTCTGGGCCTAATGTCTCCAACCTGAGTTTTCTCTAATAACCACACACTGAAGCTCACTGGATTCTACAATTCAGGTGTTTTCAAGTTTAGACTTCCTTACCTCCCACACCATGAAACATGATTCCTCCAAAATAGTTCCTCACACAGCCTACCTCTGAGCCCGGGACTCTGACTGCAAGTGTCGCTCCTCTGAACCAATGCTGGCCCTGAAGCCCCTTCTCTCAGATCCTTCTTATGTGGAGAGAGGTGACCTACCTGGATCTCCTCCCGAGAAAGCTGGACAGAATTCTGCGCGAAATCCGGGGGCTCATCCCATCCTCCCGCTTGCGTCTCCAGATTGTGGTAGTAGTGGTACCCGCCTTTCACCCAGTGCTTCACCCACTTGCTGCTGTTGTCTCCTGGCAGGAAACAGAGGGTCACGGAGTCACACTCCCAAACAGATACAGCCAACACCAGATTCCTCTAGTCTGCTCTGAGAACGTATACATGTCCCAAAAACCTGCTGCTTGGATCTGCCAGGAGAAGGGCATCTCCTGTGCCCACTAAACCTTGGCTAAGTAGTATCTAACTTATGTCATGTATGTTGTGTTATACAAAGGGAATGCCGAGGAGGTCCCATCACAAAACCGGCCACACTAATCTTTTCTTTCAAAGCCTCTAGGACCTGAAGTCGGAACTGCAGGTTCTGAAAAGATGGGCCACTCAGCACTGCAGTTCAGAAATGAGAAAGCCACAAAACTCTTTCTGCTATGAACCTCTTTCAGCTGTCCACAGGCTCAGATAGTCCGAGCTACTGGCATCCTGGCAATGGCAAACAGCCAAGTATCTCCATCCTTTGTACACACTCATAAAATTAGTGTAGTTAACACAGTTGTCTGCAAAGAGCACCTGAATACTGTCCGTCCACACTAAAGTATCTTCCCCTACATTTTCCCTTTCTTCTACTTCTGTGTCCTCATATGCTCGAGTGCTTAGCTCTTGATGTAAATACTTCCCCATAAGCTACCTGCTGCTAGTCTTTTCTTCTTGGCTTCAGCAAGGTCACTCTGGTATGTTTCACCGCATTCGGGGATGACTCCATATAAGCCAACATCCGGAGAACGAAGGGCACTCAGGGTTCTGCCAACATCACCACTGTCTACAGCTTCATTGATGGCAAAGATTCCCAAGGCAACTGTCTCGGAGGAGAATGATTAAGGTAGCGGTTTAGAAGGTGTCTACATTCACATATGACTTCACCCAACCATACCCACCATTCTCCTACCCACCAGACCAGAGGCACCTTGTCACTCTCACCCGCCACCCAAACATAAACAGGCAACAGATGCATGGCTACATACACCGCTGTGCTTCTTGAGTGTCTTTGTTGGACTGCCAGATTCCACCTTGAATTTCATCCAACCATAGCACAGCTGACTCATCCTGGGTTTCCTATGGATGAGAAAAAGCAAAGCAATAATCAAGCCATGATGTCAGGTTATATGTGATGAGGGCCGCCTGGGACTCAGCTATGGAAGCAGCAGCTCCACATGTGAGCTGTGGATTAACTGAATGGAAAAAGCCAGGCATCAAAAAAACCTGCCCTAAGCTAAACAGGAAGTGGCCTTGATGCAAGCAAAGGATGAATGAAGACAAAGCAAACAGTTCAGTAGAGGGAGCAGGAACAGGCACACTGGGAAGAGATCCAGGGACTTGTACAATTATGACAAGGGCCAGAGCAAGTATATTAATACACTAAGTCTAGAAAGCATCTTTGCCCTTGACACACAGACGTGGCTCAAATTCTCCACTGTGATGATGCTTTCAAGACCATCCTGTCTTATTTTAGCCAGATCCCTTTAATCCTCATATTTAAAACCTGGAGTTACCTTACTACAGGTGTCATCAGATCATAGGCTAAACCTTTCTGTTTTTAGGGTTGCTTTTGAAGTTGTTACTGTTGTTTTAGTTTCTTTGTTGTTATTGGTTCCCCCCTGCCCTTTTCTTTTGAGAAAGGGTCTCTCTACATAGCCCTGGATGTCATAGAACTCACTATGTAGACGAGGCTGTCCTCAAACTCACAGAGATCCATTTACTTCTTCCTCCCAAGTGCTGGGGATTAAAGGTGTGTGCCACCATGCCCTGCTTAAACCTTTCATTTAGAGGCATTATAATAAATAATGATGAGATAGCCAAGAAAACCCATGCAGTCTGACTTGCCTATTGGTGACACAGGTGATGGATTAGAAGTGGCTTGTCTCTTTCTTGCTACAATTTAATTTTCTGAGCTAACATAGAAAGGGTTTCAATATGGCACCTTAATGCATGTTATTTTATTTTATTCATCCCTTCTTGCTGGCCTATCTCACCTCAAATATTCCCTCTTTCTGCGTTCATGTTACATACACTGAAGATGGAGAATGCCACACACAATCCCCTGAGTCCTCAAGTAAGTAATGAAAATGCTAACCATCAATTTGGGGCGGGGGGTGGGGGTGGGGTGGTGAAGCCACAATGAGCTCTAGCCACAGGGTGTGAGTACAAAAGCTGAGAGGTCAATAGTGACAGGGCAGATGGTCCAAGTCTGCAAGAGAAGACTGCAAACCCTATCAAGGCAGGAGCAGTTTCATGGGTTAGAAGCCAGCCATCGCTGGTTCACGGCTGATCTTACACAATCCCAAGCAGAATCAGCTCTCAAGCAGAGCTGGGAGGCTGAACACAGCCTTCCCTGAAGGGAGAGAGACTGAAAGAATTCTGATGACTCACAGTCCCAACTTCCTGCCCTGTGCAGGCTAAAACAAAGAGAACATAATCCCCGGAGAATCAAGCAATGGAGCCAAGGTATAAAAGGCAAGAGAAAGAGTAGAAATTGGTATGTCAGGATATGCTAGCACCGGCTACTAGTGGCTTACATGCAAACACGTGTGCAGATGGGAAGACCATTTAAAAAGTCACTCATGTAAATAAAACTAAGATGATTCCCCGAGCCACATCTCAGCATTCAGACTCTACTACCGGGGGACTGGTAATTCATTTTTGGTTAAGTGCTCCAAAGGCACCAGTTTCAAGTAAAGAAAGAAAGAAACAGCACCAATGAAAATGGCAGACTAGGGACCTCTGAGTAAACACTCCTCATCACCTTTTCTAAACAGAGGAGAAGAACTAAAGACTTGCAACAATCAGAGCTGGCACCAAGGCATGTCTCACTGAGAGTGTGCGCTTGGTGGCTCACTAGAGTGAGCTTTGCACTACTTATTCACACAGCCCATTTGATGTTCCCCGGGAGGTCACTCGTGCTTTGGCATGACCAGGGGCTTATCCAGCTGTTTCGAATCACTGATGGTGGGGTGATAGATAACAGTCTGAACAACAACAACACTAACTGAAAAACAGAAAGCCAATCTGGAGGACCGATATTTAAAGAAAGCTGTGAAAATGTGACATATTTGTGGGATGAGACTCAAGAAGGCCATACGTAAGACATGTGGGCATGATGGGGCTCTTCTAACAGTGACTGTGAGAGTCCCACAAGTCTGTGAATACAGTGGAAACACGACACACGTTTTTAAAAGATGAGTTACGTGGTATACAAATTATAGTCCAATAAAAGCATTGTAAAGCAAACATGGTGTTCTCTTTTAAAGCTGTAAACCCTCACTCACCTCAGGACGCCCAGAGGGTGTGACCAAGTGGGGAGTGAAAGCTGCACAGCTGTAAAGTGCCCATGGGGCGGGAAGCACAGTGGGCACAAAGGGCCCTCAGCAGGGTGGGGAGGCTGCACTGCTTCCAGGGATTCAAGGAAAGCTGTCTGATTGTGAGCAAATCACTAGCTGATTAGGGAGATTTCCATGCATGTACATGACAAAGACTTCACAGAATTCAGGATGTCACTGAGCAGCTGCATACACCTGCAAACTCAGGAAACTGACGCAAGATCCCACCTCAGCAAAATCAAAAACCCTCAAACAAGTGATGTATGAGACAGCAGAATCTGATTTCTGGAGTTAACCACCTTATCATGAGAATGTTTGGTTGTCAAACCAAACAGCAACAACAAAATGTAAGGCCTGCAGAGACCGGACAGCACAGACACAAAACCCACAAGATAGCAGAAGCCACCCCTGAAAATCCTCAAGCTTGAGCTTGTAGACAAAGGCTCAGCTCAGCTGTTTCATACAAGCTAAAGAGCCACTGGGGTCCCATCTAGAACTAAAGCATGAGAACATTACCAAACAGCATCAACAAAGAGAAGCCACATTCTTAAGCACACCAAAACCCAGGTGCCAGAATGGAAAAGAGATATAAACCGTGGACTTAATTGCAGATTCGAGAGTGTAGAAAGGTAATAAAAAAAAAAAAAAGTCAGCTTGAAGAAAGGTCCATTCCAATGCTCTAATCAGAAAATTAACAAGAGAATGAAGGCAAAGCGTGAGATGTGAACTCTGCTGGGTTCCCTGAAAGGGAGGATTACTTGCCAGAAACAATCAAAGGATACACCAGGACAAAATAAGGGCCCAGGAGACAGTTTCTCTGGCAAGTTCTGTTTAAAGGATTTCCTAGCCCATTAGAAACTTCTCTAATTCCCATGATCACCACATACACAAAGACACCACTAACAGAACTACATATTAAATGTTTTATGTAGGGTTTTGATTGTTTATTATTATTATTATTTTGGTTTTTTGAGGTAGGGTTTTCTGTGTAGTTTTGGCTGTCCTGGACTCACTTTATAGCCCAGGCTGGCCTCGAACTCATGATGTAGCTGTAGATAACCATGAATCCTGTTCTGCTTCAACCCCATCCAGAGCTGGGATTCAAGCATGTGCCACCACGCCCAGCTACAGACTAAATTTAAGTTACCATCTTGTGCTTGTTAAATTTAGAATTTGATGATAACTATTTTTAAAAACTATTCCCTAGAAGGATTGTAGGACTTGGAAGCTAAAGAATGCCTAAAAACAAAAAACAAAAAACAAAAACAAACAAACAAAAAAAACCAATTCTATCCAAAGTGCAGTGTGCCCACTTGGCCTGGGAGATTCCACAAGGCTCCCTGTAGCTCTCCCTTTCTCCTATTCTTGACGAACTTTGCAAAGTTATTCCACAACAAAATGAAAAGCTTCAAACTCCACTCCCTGGCTACAACTTGGATAAACAAGGATAAATGAGTCACAAGAGTCAATATATCATACGATTCTATTTATAGGAAGTGTTCTGAATTCAAAATCCAAAGAACAGGAGATGGATGGTGGCACAGGGCTGGGAGAGACCGAGCGATGAGGGACCGCTAACAGATACAAGATTTCTTCTGTGGATGATGAAAATAGCCTAAAAGTGCTGTGAAAGGTTCATAATTCTATGATTACATTAGAAACCACTTTTAAAATGTTGAGTTATATGGAATGTGGATTATATTTTAGTAAAAGTATTGTAAAGCAAAGGTTAAGGTATGCTCCACTGAAGTTTTTTGGTTTTGCTTGTTTAAGACGTTGGGGAGCAGATACACGGCTTCATGCACGGTAGGCAAGCACTCCACCACTGAGCTGCATCTCCTACATGCATGTACATTCACCAAAAGACATATCAGGATTCTCAGAGGACCATTCAGTAAGTCAGGAAGTAGGAATCCTGAGCTCCCAGAAACGATCACACAGCAGGATGGGACACAACGATGGTGGTGTGGGCGGCTGTCGCGAGCATGTTGGACAAAGGAGGCCTGGTACAGAAGTAAGTATACCGATGCACTTAAATGCAGGGCCAGCCGCGGCGTCTGAAACTGCGACAGCGGGGACCACCAAATGGGGAGTGGGCGGGTGCAGACGGGAGACATGAGTGAGAGTCTGCGGTGCTGACAACTCTTGCTGTATAATCTGAGTGTCAATCACACAGGTACATTCACTTCTCAGAGTTTATACAACCAAATACCTCTTTTGTGACTCGTTGTTTTCAGGACCTTTTATTCCAATTAATCAAACAGTATCAGCAAGCATAAGGGGGGGGGGGGTGGGCGCGAGAGCCAATCAAAACTAAGCATAAAAATGCCATGAAGAAACCCGCCACTTTGGAAGCGAATTAAGAACACTGAATTTAATTTAAAAAGAAATTTTGCTGAAAAGAGGAAGGTGTAAAATGCCATGAGTTCCCAGGAGGTGGAGCACTTGATGAAACAAGGGTGACATGGCCCTGCCCACCGCTGTTCCCAGAGCCTGGCTGCTGCAGGTCCGAACAATGCTGCTCACCTGCGCCTTCTCTCTCTTTGCTCTGATGAGTGTGTCTTGGTAGTGCTGGGCTACTTCTGCAAGGACGCCCTCAAGCTTAGCTGCAGGAATCTGCAGTGCCTGCAAGGTCTTCCCAGCATCCCCTTCATCCAGGGCTTCATTAATTAAACCAATGGCCAAAATTCCTAAGTACACAGAAAAAAAAGGTGATTTTTTTTTTTAAGTTAAGAAATTTAGGGAAAAAAAACAATCCTAAAGTCTCAGCCACTCAGTAAGTTGACATAAGAGTTAAATTCACCTGAGAGTAATCACGATTCAAACTACAATTAAAAAGCACTGCATTTCAAAAATAATTTAGTTTTTATTTCATCTAAACTCTCTCATCCTATCCATCCCTACAAGAAACTCAGGTTCTTTTGTTTCATTTTTAATGTACCAACTTAACAGTTTGCTTTTTGTTTCAGTCTCACTGCAAAGCTCAGGCAGGGCACATAACCCCTGCCCGGGCCTCCTGAGTCCTGAGATTATAAAAGCCAGGCCACCACAGGCCGAGGACATGCTGAGCGTCCATTAAACTGGCTTCCCAGCTTTCGGGAACATTCATGGGCAACCCAAATCATTCATCATTTTGACTGAATGAAACAGGAGGCTTGGGGACCTCCTCCTCCCTAGGATTACACAACAAATGAGAGTCAGGCTGAAGATCTGGCCCAGGATTTCCCATTCCGGGCCAGTCTCGTCCCACAAATCAGTTGAGTGTTTCTCACAGGAAATACAAATTAAAACTGGCAACACCCACTCAGGCAGCCCGGCTGCTTTGGGGAGGACTCCACCGTGTGCTTCGGCGGTTGGCTGGTCTCTGCCCCTGGTTTCTGGGAGGAAGCCTGCAGTAGCCTCCAAAGCAGAGCACCTGTCATTTATGGCAGTACCTCCCACCACAGCTGAAGGTGTGCCCACAGAGACATCCTATGGTGGACCTAAGGACAGTGTCAGGCAGGGCTGACCATGCTTGAAGTCAGACCACCCAATCAGTTCTGAACGTTCAATGCTCAGGTGGGCGACCCTGGCCAGTGACGTGAGCAGACAGAGGACGACACCCCAAGGTCACAGCAGCTTTGCATTCAGAACCTTCCCAGGCACAGTCCCTGGCCCTCTACAATCAAACTGTAAACCGAGTCCAGCGTGACTCTGAGCTCTATGACCCGTTCTAGCAAACCATTAATCCTGAGATAGCAGGAGGAACCCTCAACTTTGTAGCTAATTGTTCAGAAGAGAGGCCTCGCTTCAACTTGCATGTCTGATGCCTGCCCAGAAAGCGTCTTGTGGAGGACTATGTCTTCAACCTACATTTGATGACACAATTCAGGCAGTTTTTGTTAGAACTACCTGTTATATGCTATGTAGTTTTTATAACTATCTCTTATAGCTATAACAGAGCTTGTTCAATTCACCTTCCCGCAAAATCATTTGTTTATTTTTTTGTTCTGTGTGGCCCTGGCTGTACTGGAACTCACTCTGTAGACCAACCTGGCCTTGAACTCAGAGATCCGCCTGACTCTGCCTCCTGAGTGCTGGAATTAAAGGCATTCACCACCACTATCAAGACAAAAATGTATTTACTAGACACAAAGCCAGTAATAATAATTGTCTGGCATACCCAATCATAGTTTTATATAATTATACATATGTGTATTTCATTCAAAATCCCTTGGAGGAGTGGTATTTAGAACCAGCTCTTGTGGAGTATGAACGTGTTTGTGTGTGTCTGGGTCTGTGCCGGTGGACGGTACAGATGTGTGGACATACATTCAGAGGTCAGAGGCTGACCTCAGGTCTTTACCCTAAGGCTGGTTGGTTGATGAGCTCCCAGGAGCCTGTCTCTGCTCTGACCCTCTCCTCCCCAGTACGGAGGTCACAGATGTACACCGCCACACGAGTTTTTACACGGGTGCTGGGGATCTGAACTTACACCTCCAGGCTTGTGGGGCAGGCAGCTCGCTAGAGCATCTTAACAGTAACGCTCTCTGAGGGGTACGGTGGTTACTCACGCTCATGTTCCTCGTGCACCACCAGGTTCACGTGGTCCACACAGGCTTGGATGTCGTTCCATGTGATGAATTCATTATTCTCCGCATGTGCCTGAGCTTTCAGCTTCATCAACTCATCGAGATACCTGTCCCAGCCCAAAATAAAAAGCATGGAGAAAAAAAGAAACCATCAGAATGATTATTCAAGGAGCAAAGGTCTATAGATTACAGGAAGTGTTTCATGTAAGTTTCTGGGACTGCAGAGAAGTAGCCCTAAAATGTATACACACAAGGAAATCACTGAGTCTCCGAGTTCTGGGAGACTTTAGAACTTTAGAAGCAAGGGACTCATCCAAAGACAGACAAGAGGGCCAAGCTGGAGGCTGAGGACAGCCATAGAGGCCTCACTTTATTAAGTGTGAGGCCCAGCTTCCACACCCAGCACCAACAAAGCAAAATGGTGTCTGTGGCATACTGACAGTACATTATGAAGACATAGAGCTGGGAATGAAAATGGATGTGTAGACACAAGAAAACAGAGATAACCGCCATGCAATGGACCCAAGGCACATGCTGTGGGCGCCCACCTTTGGCAGTTCTCTTCCTCGATGTTGGTAAGGCCCGTGACTGAGCTGCTCAGCTGCTTCCACACTGTGTTCATGTCTCCCGACTCCAGCGCCCTGTTGATGAGGGCCACGGAGGACAGCATCTCCACAGCAACGGTGAGTTCAGGGTGGATGAGGCTATGCTGTGCAGGAGGGGCAGGGGAGAAATCGTGAGGAAGGACGCTCCCCAACACCAAGGGAATGAGAAGTTCCACATGGAAACCAAGTTTCTGGAAAAAGCTTCTACTCAAACACACGGAGACAATGGTATTAAATTCACTTCCACCCATTCTGCTCCCAAACAGAACAGGCTCAGTTAGCTTACTTCTGGGCTCTGTTGCTGCAGAGTGGCCAGCTCCTTCTGATACAGATCAGCGGCAAACGGATACACCTGGGGCAGCTGGGCTTCGGGATTCATTAGCTCCAAAACCGTCTTCTCGGCGACGCCCTTCTGGATTGCCGAATTGATGGCTGCCACTGCTGCCAACCCTGTAGGAAAGCAGGTCAACGGCAGGGGGCTTAGAGGCCTGTGCACAAACAGTGTCTTTTCTTGGTTTGGTTCTGAGAGGGGGTCCCCCTCTGTGCCCCTGGCTGTCCTGGAACTTACATAGACCAGGCTGGACTCGAACTCACAGAGATCCACCTGCCCCTGGCTCCCAAGTGCTGGGATTAAAGGTGTGTGCCACCATGGCTGACTGCTTTTAGAAAAGACATGTATGCACATGCATGTATGTATATGTACTGCATGTGTGCTTTGTGTCAATGGAGACCAGATGTGGGTATCGGATCCCCCAGGACTGGAGTGACAATAAGTTACAGTGAGCCTGTAGACTGCCATGGAGTGCTGGGGGCAAAACCTGGTCCTCTACAGAGCAAGTGCTTCAACCCCTGGGGCTGCAGCACCATACACCAACCCCCACAACCTGCTTTCAATGTTTTGTGGAATATGTGTGTTCGCATGTCCACGTGTGGGTAGATGCACGCGGCAGGACACGTGTGGAGGCCTTAGGCTGATGTTCAGTGCTGATGATCGCTCTCCATCTTATTAAGTCTGCTAGTTTCAGGCTAGTCTGGCTAGCAATCCTGCCTACTGTGCACTGGGATCACAAGGCAGCTGTCGTGCCCACTGGGCTCTATATACAGAGCCTGAGGATCAGAATCCTGTTCCTCACATTGCTGGGATTATAGGTATGGGCCACCAAGTCTGGCTAAAAGGTACCAATTTTTTTTTTTTTTTTTTTTTGGTCTGTTTGTGTTTTGAGACAGGGCTTTTCTATGTAGCCTCAGCTGTCCTAGAACTCCATCTGTAGGCCAGACTGGCCTTGAACTCACAGAGACGCACCTGCCTCTGCCTCCGGAGTGCTGGAATCAAAGGTGTGAGCTACCACTGCCCGGCTATGGAGGTACCAATTTTTATAGTTCCATTCTGTACCTATAGCATCAGTCATGGCGCTTGAAGCTGAACTCATCTCTGAAAACCCACCACACCTCACTGAAGATGGTAGTGGCCGTGCTGTAGTGGGGGTGGGGCACAGGGGCAGCCCAGGGGCACGGCCTCCCAATCAGAGCAGAGAAGGCTCCAGCCGGGCAGGGGTAGACCAGGCCCACGGTTGAGCCCACACTGAATGCAGAAAGCCAAAGAATGGCTTTACTGTGAGTACAAGCTGCAGAGGCTATGGCGGTGGACACAGGCATCTTGCTGGTGTGACTGAGCTGAAGAGGAGCCAGGCCCCCACATTTTAGGTCACCTACCATAAGGACCCTTGTTTGTCTGATTCTGAGCCTGAGTGGACTGTAGCCATGAGCAAGGATCCACCTCTAGTGTGTGTAAGCGGGCCCGCAGCAGCATGGGAGGTATGCAGTCCAGCTGGCAGCCCATCAGGCCAGAAGCTTGTGCCAGGGGGTTGTCACCCAGTATGTCTCGGGCAAGAGACTCAGCTACCTGGAACCTAATTGTCAGCTGGATTAGGCCGGGCTGGCACTGTCTGCACCATGACTGAGGGGCTGCTTTAGGAGGCCAAGGTGACCCCATGGGCCAGGGAGAATGGGCACTGGCTCACGTGTTTACATGTCTTCATACAGCGCCTGGGTTTCCTGTAGGCTGATTCTGCTGTCCATGCCACACGAACTGAGGACCCCATGCCAATAGCCACCCTGCCTGGCTGTCTACTGAGCTATTGGCTTGTGCCCCTGCCACACTTTATATGAGAGCTTTCTCAGTTTGCAGTCAATGTGCTAGACCATGCCAACCATACGGCACTCACACAGCGGGCCAAGTCCGGGAAAATACCCTGCCCCACTGCTGGGAGCAGTTCCTCCTGTCTTCCTGTTCCTCATCCCCACCCCAAGCTTTGAAAACTAGTTCATTCGAGGGCTGTCCGCACTTCTGGATCCCTAGAGCATTTGTCCTCTGTGCACGGCTGACTCCAGCCCCCGCAGGCCAGGCCCACAGCCTCCTTTTCCAGTGCTGCTCCCTGAATCGCCCAAATCTCCAGCTGAGGAAGGCCACTCCTGTCCTGAACTGCATCTTTTGTTCTCCTGCATGCCTCCTCCACAATGAGGGATAAAACCTGGTGCTTCCAGTGCCTGACCTGGGAACAAAATACAGCCCAGGAAAGGAGCTGCAGGCTCAGCATGCTGCGGGGAGGGAGCACCGTTATCGTGCTTACTTACCCATGGCTGACAGGGGAGGCAGGGCCAGGGTCTGTCATCAATCACTTCACAGCCTACACCTCTGCCCTCCCTCCCCTGGGTCCCCTGACATGTGTTTGTTCTTAGTACCTCAATAAAACCCAGCCTGGGTCTAGAAGACAGAGTCCATTCCCTTTTCACCCCTATCGTCTGCACTTTCATCACTGTGCTAACACTGCACGAGCTAAAACAGTTCTTTCTTCCCCAGAAGCCTTCTAATGAGGCTGCCCTTCAAAGCTTCCCAACAGCGTCTCATACTCGGCCCAAAACAATACAAGAGTTCACAGTAGTCACTGCTCTAAACTCACCTTTCCCCAATAGCACTGTCTGTCCCTACTCCTATTCTCCTTGCTGCTACAATCAGGAGTATTCTCTCCTCTGTTTCATAGTCCAAAACTTACTGCCCTTAAAGTGTTGACTTCTTTCCGAGCTACCCACAAAGAGTTTATTAACCACAGTACATCTGCCTGGACTCTAGTTTGTTTCCAAAACTAGAAGAATCTTACTGCTACCAAAGGACTTGGCTTTTTATCATGACTAGTAGGCTCAGGTGCCAAGTGACAGAACTTTAGATCCTTTGGTGACATAAAGCCACAACCTCCCTCCCCCTGAACATCCCGTGGCCTGGAAGGAGGGGCTCTTACGTCGCTGGTATTGCTGGGCAGCACTGTTGGCAGCGTCCACTCCGGCCTGGACCTCCTCCTTCTGCAGGGGGTCAGTCTGGCCACTCTAAGGAAAGCAAAGGATACTGATGAGATGATTGTTCACGAGTAGGCCCGTAGGCCTCTAGACCTGAAAGTCCTCTTAACAGCAGTCACAAGGGACAGAGAGCCAGTGATGGAAGTGACGGCTCCGGCTTCATGCAGCCACACTGACTAGAGACAAAAGCCCTTGCCAAATCTAGGATAGAGCTGCTATCTGTATCCCAGTATATTTGTGTGTGAGAGTGTAAGTGTGTGTGTGTGTGTGTGTGTGTGTGTGTGTGCGCGCGCCTGTAAAGCCCTGAAATGTTCTATGAATAAATATTTATGGACTCACAAGGGCATTAATGTGGCTTATGACAACTAATGTATTCTGGGAATTTGTAAAATGTACACTTGTCTTTATTTAGATGAAAATAGAGAAGACTTTCCTATTTGTTTATTCCTCAGGGGAAAGGCTACAAGTCTAACCCCACATGAGCCATCTTTGAAACAGCTGAAGTATTCTCCAATGTCAGCCAGAGGAAATGTGGGTTTTCTTTTTTTTAAAGTAGAATTTCCTGAAGTACGAATAAAAAAACTTCAGGTTTTCCTACAAAGACTTTCCCTAGAGGGAGGAAAATCCCACTCCAGTGGGTAATGGAGAGAGGAGGCATCATGTACTTTAAAAGAGGATTCACGGCTCTCAAAGTGAAATGGGGATTTAGAGAGCGTGTACTCTAGTTGAGACTAAATACACCATCAGCCTACGCTATACAAAGAAAATAGTTGTATTAAAAGAAGAGCATGGAAATGCCCGGGGGACAGCATGCAATTGATGACCAGACACCTGGGGGGGCACCCCGGAACCAAGTGGACCAGGCAGCCCACAGTCCCCCACTTGGCATGCGTACCTGTCTCTTCTGCTGTTGGTCACTTTGGAGCTGCTTCAAGTACCAGTCGCTGTTCTGGGTCTGCAGCCCTCGAAGGCCCAGAGCCGGTGACTGCAGAGCCTTGAGCAGGGCCAGCGCACAGCCCTGCTCTAAGGCCAGATTGATGTTGGCCAGGGCAGAATGTGCTGAGGAGAAAGCAAAGGCGTAAAACCAACCTGACAACATCACAACAATTCAGTCTCAGTGCTACCATGGCTCAGAAGCTCAAGATTCTGGAGTCAGAGAACCTGAAAGCCATTAAGCAGGGTGTCCAAGCAGACCGTTCCTCAGTCTATAGGCTCCTACCACATCCCAGGCCGACTTAGAAGCTTCCAGCTGTGCATACCTTGGCGCCACGGTGAGCCCACCAAACCCAACCCATACAGTGCCTACAATCCTCAATGTCTTTTCCAATGATGCTTCCAAACTGTGAAATACAAACAGAACAAAGGTTCTTCCGTGGCAATTTACAGCTTTGGACAATTTTGTTTAAAAAAAAAAAAAAAACCTTTAAGTCTCTGGGGTTCACACTGAATTCATCCAACTTCCCTACGCTTGTCACTAAGAGCCTTAATTCCTCCAACCGCTTCCTCCACAGCATTTGAATTTGTGAGCCTGCACTGTATAGTTGATGTCAACCTGACACAAGTGGAGTCATCTGAAGAGAAGGAACTTCCACTGAGAAAAATGCCCATAAGCTCAGGCTGTAGGGCATCTTCTCAATTAGTGATTGATATGGGAGGGCCTGGTCCTTTGTAGGTGGTGCCTCCTTTGGCTGGTGGTTCTGGGTTCTATTAAAAAAAAAAAAAAAAAAAGCAGCCAGAGCCGCCTGGGCAATGGTTATGCATGCTTTTAGTGCATGCCTTTAATCCCACCACTCAGGACACAGAAGCAGGTGGATCTCTCAGTTTGAAGCTAGCTCGTCTACAGAGTGAGTTTCAGGACAGCCAAGGTTACACAGAGAAACCCTGTTGAAAAACAAAACAAAGGGGGCTGGAGAGATGGCTCAAAGGTTAAGAGCACTGGCTGCTCTTCCAGAGGTCCTGAGTTCAATTCCCAGCAACCACATAGTGGCTCACAACCATCTATAATGAGATCTGGTGCCTTCTTCTGATATGAAAGCATATATGCAGATATTGTATACATAATAAGTAAATAAATAAATTTAAAAAAAGAAAAAAAAAAGCAAAACAAAAAACTCCCTCTTTGGGCTGGGGGTGTGGGCTGGGGGTGTGGGCTGGGGGTGTGGGCTGGGGGTGTAGCTCAGCGGCAGCAAGCAGCAGCTGTTTACACTCTACTAGCCTCCAACAACTCCACCAATCTCAGATGCTGACTGGGAAAGCCGGCTTTCTACGCGAGTATACGCTCAGGCCAATCACCGCTGCGCTCATTCAAAATCTTGTGGATCTTATGAAGCTAAGCAATTCTTTGGAGCCCTACTGGTCCCATTTTCAGTCCAAAGACTTCAGAGTGGAAAAGAACAGGGCTGTCTCCTGCTGAAAAGAGCTTCACACAGAAAAGACCACAGAATGGGACTTAGTTGCCAGCTCTTTTGTGGGTCCCTCAGTGAAGCAAGGAGACAGAAAATCTAGACACAACATTCCCAAAGGTCTTCAAGATGGCCTTCATGTTGTTCCCCCAACAAAAATCCCTCATACTCATGGCATTTTTGCAGCAGTAGAGGGATAGAAAAGAAACAAAACAATGTAGTCAACAGGCAGGCTTTCTCTAAACACCCTCTTGACGGTCTCAGCGTAGCTACCTACAAGAGCCTCTACTCCGAGATGCTTTGCCTGCAAGTCTAAACTCATCACTTAAATATGCAGATTAACACTTACCGGCATCCCATTGCAAAGATGGTCAAGTTTAGATGAGGCATCACTGTGGATGCACCATACGGCGTGACAGACGATGGGATGCTGCAATTAATGTGTCCAAATGACACACATCTCACCAAGCCTCACCTGACACACCGATGCCAGGGGGACCGCAGCTTAGCGGCAGAAGCTGCACTGAGCATGCAAAGGCCCTGGGTTCTATACCCAGCAGAGAAAAGGAGAGGGGGAAGGGGGGAACAAGCAGGAAGCGAGAGAACAAGAGAGCAAACCTCAGGCTGGAACATTTTAGAGTAGACTCTTCCTAAGTCATGAACTGAATCGAGTGCACTGGGGAGAAAGGCAGACAACTGGGTCCCTAGAGAGGGCTGCATTCGTCGGACTCTGCATAAGGGCTCTCCCAGGGTAGCATGCTGCACTGGCTGGCAAGCTGCCGTGACCCAGTGCAGGTTCTTCAGAAGAAGAGGGACGCAATGAGATGACAGTCCAGAGAAACTATTCTCAAAAGTGTGTGCTGCGCGTGCTCACAGAAATCAATATAGAAAATAGAAGCCCATTTTCAAGTCAGTGTACAGTTTTTGTTACATTTTTGTGTTTAGTGGGAGGGGCACGTGTTGGAGCTGGTTCTCTCCTTCCATCATGTGGGTCTTTTTTTTTTTTAATATATTTTTTATTTATTATGTATACACTGGCTGCCTGCATGGCAGAAGAGGGTATCAGTTCTCATTATAGATGGTTGTGAGCCACCATGTGGGTGCTGGGAATTGAACTCAGGACCTCTGGAAAAAACAGCCAGGGCTCTTAACCTCTGAGCCATCTCTCCAGCCCCATCATGTGGATCTTAAGTGGAAACTGAACTCAGGTCATCAGACTTGCCAGCAAATGTCTTTACTTGCTGAGCCATCTTGCCAGTCCCAATTTTTTTTTTTTTTTTTGTAAAATATTATTTTCACATTTATTTATTTATTTGTGTGCATGCGTGTGAGTGACTGTGACACGGTGTGAGTCCCGGGGATCACACTCATCAGGCTTGGCAACAGGCACCTTTTACTTGCTGAGGCTTCTTACTGGCCCTATCTCAAAAAAGAGGTGGGGGGGAGAGAGAGAGTATAATCTTTATGTTTGTAGCACAGAGTAAAAGAACATAAAGCTGTAGCCAAAAAGACCATCCCAGAAGCTATCTATATGGGTACATGAATGAAGACCTGCCAGAGGATACTAGAAACAGGCACAGGAATACAGATTATAGGAAGCAGGCTCTCAAACGACCTGCTGATGGCTTAAGCCACACCCTAACTGAGCAGATCTGCTCTCCTGCGCCCTTAGGTTTCTGACTGGGGCCATACTTACTATTGACCTTGTTTACATTCCCTTGAATTTCAGCTTGAGTGAGCAGCTCCTCATACACGTCCCTTTCTCTGTCAGAATTTTCTGTCTGAGGATGAGTAAAAGGGAAGAGATGAGCCCAGGCCTCCGAAGAGCCCAGAGAAGGGGGAAGTATGTGTGCGCTTCCCCCAACACCAGGACAAAACCAAGAACAAGTCTAGGTATGCAGTTCAGATCCTCCAGAAGTGACAAAGTCTCATGACTACACCTAAAAGCACAAGGCCCAGGTCCACTTGTTACAAACAGCAAGGGGTTCCTGCAGAGCTGGGCTAGGAAGCAAGTGAGGAAGCACCCTGCCTGGGGGCAGTGGGCTGAGCCCACATCCTTGCCCAGAGCACAGGGCTTGTGCAGAAGCCTTCCCGCCTGCCTGCAAGCCTTTCTAGCACTCACTCTGGGGCTTAAAATCCCTGCTCCATAACAGAGAGACATAAGAAAACATATGCACAGACCTCTCCAAAAACCAAGACATTTCAGTCACTGACTCCAAGAGCTAAAGGTGTGTGGAGTCTTGCTCGTTTATTACTGCGTGCGGGGATGATGGAGGGGTGGGCGCAGCGTGTGCACGTGGCAGTCAGAGGACAACTCTGTAGAGCTGGCTCTCTGCTTTCACCTGTACCGTGGATTCTAATGGCTGAAGTCGGGTCCTCAGGCTTCTGTGGATTACCTGCTGTGGATTACCTGCTGAGCCATCTCGCCAAGCCTTTGTTTTTGTTTTGAAACAGAGTCTCACTAGGAATCCCTGGCTGGCCTGGATCTCACTATGCAGACCAGAGCTGGGCTCTAACTCACAGAAGTCCATCTGCCTCTGCCTCCCCAGTGCTGGGATCAATGGCATGCACCACAGCTTTTTTATTTTGACACAGTCTCATCTGTGGTTCAGGCTGGCTACAATCATAACAGAACCATTCGGCTAACATTCACATACTTACAACAATACTGAATATAAATTTCATCCCAGAGACCCTAATGGAGAAGGGCCATAACAATAGTTGGAGATCATCTTTCAAAAGAAAATTATCCAAACTGACCTTAAGTGGCCACATAAAGCATGAAATGGAACACACACACACACACACACCCCAAAAAAAGTCAAGACCAGAAGACTATGCAGTTCCATTTAATGGGAAATTCTAAAAAAGGTAAAATGCAGTGATAAAGAAAACAGACTTGAGTTAGGTGGGTAGCACACTCCTTTAACCTCAGTACTGAGGAGGCAGAGGCAGGCAGACTTTCTGAATTCAAGGCTGGCCTGGTCTACACAATAAGTTTAAGGACAGCCATGGCTACACAAAGAAACCCTGTCTCGAAAAAATAAAAAAGGAAAAACAGGCTGGTAGCTGCCTGGAGTCAGATGGGAAAGTGGAGTGATGGCAGATGAGCAGGAGCTCTTGGCAGGGACAGTTAATAAGTGCATACAGATCTACCAAAACTCAACTGCACACAGAAAATGGGCAAACTGTACTGCACATAAATGACATCTCAACAAATGGCTTTAAGATGCAGATTTACCAAACATGGAAGAACACAGTCAATTAAAAAGATGTTGCATTTTTTACCCTGTTTTTAGCATTTGTCATCTTGTCCTGCTTGGCCTGGTAGAGGACATCCTGGTAGGTGGAAGCCAGGACTTCTTCCAGATTGACCAGCATGGCATTGGGGTTTTTCAGGGCTGTAAACGTGTCGGCTGGAACTCTGTGGTCAATAGCTTCATTGATAGCAATAACAGCAGCATGTACTGAAAAACAAACAAGATCAAGACACAGCACACTGAGACTATAGGTGGTAATGGGTGCACACTATACAGACAGACCAGTATTACAAGCAGCCATTACAGACAAAGCCTCCTTTCCCGGAGAACAGCAGGGCTGGAGGAACAGCCTGGCCCTCCACCTGCCATCTCTCTCTTTGCACTGAGCAGGCAGTTACACCTGGGAGCCACTGAATTTTCAGCTCATGCTGCATATTCATAATATAACTCTGCCAAGTATATTTGCTCTGGAAAAATGTTCACCCCTAATTATGTAGTAAACAACACAAAAATAAATCCCCAAAAGGCACCAAAATTCAGGGCTCTCTTTCTAAATGTCTTTAACAAAAATCGATAATCTATTTCCAAACAACCACAGCATAGCCTAGAGCACAGTCTCCAACTATCTATAGATCAAAACTTGCTAGCAAAGCTGCTCATGCCTGAGACCCCAGCACAGCACTGGCCACTGTGAGTAAAGCCTCTTTCAGCCCAGAAAAGCTCCCTTCTTACGCGCAGCTTCGTCCACTGAGAGTTCATTAGCCAGGATGCCCCCAATCTTGCTGAAAGCTGGCATCTGGATCCCATACTTCTCTAGCTCGATCTTCATGTTGTTGATTTCTTCTTCTGCAGAAAAGAATGAAGACCCAGATAAGCAAGTTTTTATAACTCAGGAGGATCAGTTCTTCAACTGAATAAAATAGCCTCTGCCTTTAATTAATGAAGAATGAAAGCACTTAGCACAGTACCTGCCAGATAGCATGTCATCAATAAACATCCGCTCACTAGCACCAAACTTAACTAGAAGACAGGAAGGCCCAGTGGACATAGTTTTTAAGAACTGCTTCTTACAGCATTCCTTACAGTAATCTCTGGATGAACAGCAGCTTTACAGGGAACTCAATGACTGAGTCCCAGCCCTTTACTTCAGTCTGTATAATCCAAATCACTAGCTGCTACTCAATTTCCCTTTTAAGGCAGAAAGCCAAATGATCAAGCAAGCTTTGACCTTTTCCCCGAGTCTAGTGAATGAGCTTCCTGGAAGGAAAAATATTATAGATAAAAGCTTTACTACCAATTTTATTTTTGGTTGTGAGCTTAGCCTTTAACGGCTGAGCCAACTCTCTAGCTGTAATACTAATTTTAAACTCCAAGGCCGACAAAATAATCACCAGTTGAGAGACTTGAACCTTGCTCCTGACCAATGCTACCACTGCCCATGCCCCCATCTCCTCAAGCACCTGACTAGAGCAAACACAGAAAATGCTATGGCCCAGAATAAGGCTTTTCCCATAAGGGTCCGTGTTAGAGGCTTACCCACACTGTAGGGTTGTGAGAGGTACTAAGCCCTTTAAGAGGCAGGTCTAGTGGGAAGGTTATTCTGATAAAAACTTTACTTCTCACAACTAGCTCTTAGAGAAAGCCTGGACCCACCCAGCCTTCTGGCTCTAGTCTGCAATACAGTCAGTCTCTGGTGTATGCGTTTCCACTGGGCCATCTGCAATTAGTCTCTCATCAGAGGCCAAACCAACGGGTTGTCTGACTCTCGATTTCCAGTCTCCAACCAGTCTCTCTAGAAGGTATTTCATCATACTTGCAATACACAGGAAATGTGGACCAAAAAGCTCAGACTTTAAAATAACTACGCTGTTGTTTCTGAGTCCCCTAGCTCTCCACTCTTGTTCTTTCCCAACCGGTACTAGTTACAAAGCCTTTTCCACAACATGTATCCATTTAATGCTACCTCCACATACTACCATCTTATGTCTTTGATGTTACTATCCTCACATAACTGACACACATACAAAAATACACGTAAGAAAACTAAATTCACCAGTCCCCCCCCCATATCACAAACGAAAGAGCAGAGTTTGCAATTCCCAGGTCCATGTTCTTCCTTCCACACTAAAAAAAGCAGTTTACTCCTCTCATCTTCCCTGTGTGAGTATTTTCTAAGCCCTTTTCCTTTAAGGCAAGCATTGTTGAACTTTCCAGGCAATTACCGATTGCAGGATGCCTCAGCGAGTCCTTACCTGTAAAGTCGACCTTCCCATACAGGTCCTGAATCTGAGGAGCCAGGCCCAGTTTGAACAGGTACAGACTAGAAGAGACCAACATGCAGAGAGTGAGGCCTCCTGCTGCAGCAGCTGCAGCTCTCAGGTGGAGGACTGAAACCGGGAGAAACAGGAACAGGGAAGAGAGACAGAGCTTTGCAGCGACAGCATCTCTCTGCATACTTTTCATCACAATGAGTGGCACAATATAATGAAAGATTTCCCCTAGATCAGAATTCAAGTCCCAGTTGTGGCACAAAGTTAATGTATAATTAGATGTTAATGTTAACATAGCTGATATTCTGTCAGCACGAGTAAGGTCTTTTCACTTGTAAGTTTTAGTAATAAGACATTTTAAACAAGTGTCATGAAAATGATTCAGATAGCAAATCTTGCTTGAATGGGATTCCTGACTGACAGAGAAGCTTAATCCAGGTTAATTAAAGGTTTAAAATGATGAAGTACATGTTATTTATCTTTGCCCTTTAGAAAATAAAAAGACTCTAAACGCTATGAAGGGGAAGACAACAAATCTCAGCAACCAACCTTTCGGAGATAAATGTCTATAAGCCTGTGTTGTTCGGTTGATTCTCAAGCTCAAACAGATCAAAATCAGTGAATTAAAAGAGATCAGATGCACACTTTACAGACACTGACTCAGCAAGACACAGAAACAAACAAAAGTTTCAGAAGGAGCTGGCGTTTTGGCCCATCATCTTGCCATCAACCCTGATGAGCTGGGTTCAATCCCCAGGACCCACATGGTGGAAAAACTGACTGACTCCTGTAAGTTGTCCTAAGACCCTGACATGCCTTTGCGCACATGCAAAATAAGACAGTTTTAAAATCATTGAAAAAAGTGAAACAGGGTAATCTAGTTTTGTAGATATTCTAGAAACCCTGGAATCTTCCAAAATAACCATACCCTATAGATAAATATTCTACATAATCTCAGTTAATTTTTACCAGGTTTTACCAACGAATGAACGGACACTAATGTAAACTCAATTTTCATAACACGAACGGTTTTATTTTTCTTAATATAAGGTGAGGGGTTATGGGCCTATTTAACACCAAAATCAGTGGGGTTTTATTTTAATTTGCTTTGGGGCAGGGGATCTCACTATGCAGACCTAGCTGGAACTCACTATGTAGCCAAGGAGAACCTAGAACTCCTCATGCTTCTAACTCCAAGCTGGCAGTTCCTCTCTGCTCCTTCTGTAGCCTCAGGTGCAGCCTGGGTCTCAAGCCCTCAATCCTCTGAACTACAGATGAAGAACTGACTGTGCCTTTCTAATGACTGATTCAGGACAAAGGGAGGAAGTCCAGTATTGTTCTCCATTTCTCTGGCATATGCAGTCATGCTTAGAAAGCATATACAGAGCAGAGTGCTCTGGCTTGGGATTTATGGCTTCTTTCCTCACCGTTGGGGTTTTCCTGAAAGGTAAATTAGCAACCCTTGACAGTGTGTGGGAAGAGGCTATTAACTCCTCAGGGCCTCCTCACAGCACGTCTTGGGATGGATCCCCACCTCCATACCTGCCAAGTTCAGACAGCCATAGGCATGGACTTTAAGGCCTCCACTACAGTCAGGCCTCAGCACACCAAGCCAACCACATTGCTGAGGATTGTTCAGGCTCTGGCTCAGATACACACACTTGAATTTATTACACTCTTCACGCAGGAGATGTCTTAGCCAGCTGTAGTGGCTCTCCTGCACGCTCACAATTGTGCTGGTGACAGCAAGGGTCCAGCTAAGTCTCATCAAAACTCTGAGATGGGACAGCTCAGTGGCAGAAGGAATGCATAGCATGCGTGAGGTCCTGGAGTCAACTTGAGACAACAGGCTTCTAGTGGAGCCACGCTATGCACTTTCACTCACAGGATTAACACTGATTAAGCACATATACAAGAGGCTATATAGCAAGAGGAATCTGAGCAAACAAATCTCACCTCATGGCCCACTTCCTCCCCAACCTTCTTTAGCCAGGAAGTGAACCTGATAAAACATCGTACTACCATTCCCAACTACCATAGTGCACATCCCCTCGCCCCCTACTTCCCTTCAGCACTGTTTCCTGATAATTCAGTACGCTGATGAGTCTAAGTGGAAACCTGGAATTAAGTCATTCTTCATGAACTTATACTTTCTTTCCTATCATAGTTGTGTTGGTATAAAAATTATTTAATGAATGAACAAATAACAATTGCAAGGGCTTAGATGACTGAATTGAGGACACCACACCCTGATTAAGATGCAGAGTTCAGAGAAATATCAGATAAAAAAATGAAAGCTTATACCATGTTTCTGCAACAGAAATGTATTATGGGAATAAACAAATCCCTTCTCTCTGCTCCCTAGAAAAACACAGCTGTTTCTGTAAGGATAATAGCCTTCTATTCCATTTCAAACTCCTGAAGTTGATATAAAACCTCTTTCATTCTTACACCACAGACAAATGAGATAGACACTCGACTGAGAAGTTATCCTTAAGTGACTTATTTTACCAAGAAGCCCTGGTTACCTGAGGGCATGGATACAGTAGATACATCTTGGCATGTTCTTCCGGTCATAGATATCTGTGGTTTCTGGGTAAAAAATCTAGGAAGAAATCAAAGAAGCAGACTGAATGGAATGGTCAGAAGAATCTGGAAAAAAAATAAAGACTTTTACTAAGATAGACAAGACCTCAGTACAAGATCTTCAGGGGAAATAGCAAATACTTTGCAAGAGAGTGAAGGAAGAGCCTAAAGCTTTCCAAAATGCACAGAATATATTCCAGAAAGTAACAGAAAACACGGATGGAATCAGAAGATTGGTATCGTGTTCAAAGCCAGACAAGTGTAGACGTGGCAAGTAGGAAAAGATGTACCCTAGCTTTGGAGTAAAGGTTGGAAGCAGTTAGAGAGCTCACGGGAGACAGGACCCAGGCAGCACTCACTAAGGAGGGATGGAAACTGGAGAAGCAGGCTGGAAAGTTGTTGTGATCGTAGATGGAGAGAAGAGGCATTTCTGATAAGAGAAGGAAGTCAGGGGAGGGACTGGATGAACAGTGCATGGTATCTCCAATTTCTGAGGCTAAGTCAAAAGAATCCTAAATTCAAAGCTTGCGTCAGTGCATTGTGAGTTGAAGGACAGCCTGGGAAACTTAGTGAGGCTGTCTCAAAAGAAAAACCAATGAAGGCTGAGGAGATAGTGCAAGGGTAGAGCATGCATGAAGGCCCAGGTTTGTCTCTAGTGTCACCACAAAACAAAACAACAAAGACCCCTGGCAACAGTAGACATAAACACGCTCTACATACCATTCAAAGGAGGCTAAATTGCCATTGTCCACGGATGACAACACTGTATGAAAGGCGGGAGGTCACAGGCACAGCGTAGCATTTTATACTAGCATGCATTCTACACTACAGAAAATGGGAACAGAAGGTATAGTGCACAGAAAGGCCAGGGGAACAGAGCCACTTGGTGCAATGCATCTCCTAACACTAGTGAGACCAAAATCTCAAACATACCCTTAACAGAGAAGAGCAAGCACATCGGCAGTGTGCCTTAAGGAAGTCAGCACAAAAGCTGAGCCTCATGCAAAGATCTGGATTTAGTCAGCTCAAGAGCCATACATAATGATGAGCTCAACACTGTGCTCATCAAAGACTGGATACCACGTGATTTCAGTCACTTTGGGACACTCTACGCTCACTTCTATTCTTACTCTTTCTTCAGTTACAAAAACCTGGGCTCCATGGGGAATTATAAAGAAAAGGAAAACCACCCTCTAATCCCATCACAGTAATGAAAAGTATTTCCTTACCAGTTTTTCATAAGCTCACCTACTTTATTTTTGCACAAAAATAGTAATCACAGCTTTACTGAAAACAAGCTTTTAAAACCTTAAGCTAGTGACTCTCCCCTTACGTAATATCAAAGGCAACTTGAAAATTTTTGTGCATGAATGCTTTGTCTGCACACAAAGCCTGGCAGCTGTGGAGGCCAGAAGGCGGCAGTAGAGCCCCCGGAACTACAGATGGTTGTGGGTGCCGGGAAGCAAACCCATGTACTCTGGGAGAGTAGCCAGGGCCAGTGCTCGGAACTGCTGCACCACCTCTCCAGCCTCTCAAAGGCAGTCTTCAAAGGCAGTAATATCTGCAGCTTGAACACCAAGAGTGTCCCTACAGAACACGTAGTTTGCTCCAGTTTTCTCCTGTCATAAGCACTCCTGAAAACTCTTATGTACACGTACATATATACACATACATATATATATACATATATATGTCTACACCTTCTTGTGTCTTGTTTAACTTTTGGGGGGTATAATATATTCCTACAAGTATGTCAAAAATAGGAAGGAAAAAAGGAAGGAGGGAATGGCAGAAGGGAGAGGGAGGGAAGGCAGGCTGGGAAGCAAACAGGCAGGCCATGTCTCGTTGAGCTTGGTAAGCCTTTAATCTAGCACTCTGGTGCAGAAGACAGGCAGAGCTTGAGGCCAACCTGGTCTACACAGTGAGTCCTAGGTCAACCAGGACTACATGGTGAGATCCTGTCTTTATATATATATACATATATATGTGTGTATATATGTATATATATAGAGAAAGACAGAGAGAAAAAAACAAAAACAAAGCCCACGTCTGTGAGTGTGTAGGTCCAGTATGTCCTCTATGGCTGACCACTGAGTAGGCAAGAGACGACAATCTACCAAGGGCATCACAACATAAACTGAACAAAACACTCAGGATCCATGCTCTGACATTAAAACCACACACACACACACACCTAATTATATTCTCAACAACTAAAGATGTGAAGTAGCTTTCATCCTCCCTGAAGATTTGTATGCTCTGGAAGGTGACATCTTTGAAATAGTTTGTTGGTTTCGCTAAGGTCAGATTTTTAATATAACAATGCTGTAAGTAAACCCCCACTGTGTACTTTAAAATGATGACTCTCTATACTACATGAAGCTCATCTATGAAAACACACTTTGATGTGCACAAGGCGGGTACGAAGGCATGGGCTGGATTTGCCTGCTACCTCGGCACTCAAAAGGCTTCACCAGGAAGACCTTGAGGGTCAGGCTGTCCTACAGAGAATAAGATCTTATGCAAAGAACCGAGCTGGGCATGGAGCTCTAGCTCAGCTGGCAGAGTGCTTGCCTAGCATGCGCAACAGCCTGGGTTTCATCTCCAGCACCCCAATTACAAAAACAAAAGCACACACAGCAAAGTATATAGTCAAAATAAATATCCCACTAGGCAATTTCTCTAGGGTTAAGGTGAAATATATACAAGGAAAAAGAACAACAACAAAAAGAATAAAATTCATGGGCTGGAGAGATGGTTCAGAGGTTAAAGAGCACTGACTGTTCTTCCAAAGGTCCTGAGTTCAATTCCCAGCAACCACATGGTGGCTCATGACCATCTATAATGAGATCTGGTGCCCTCTTCTGGCCTGCTGTCACACATGCAGGCAGAACACTGTATAAATAAAAAATAAATCTTTAAAAAGTAAAATAAAAAAGAATAAAATTCATTTCCTGAATCAAGCTGAAAAGACCCTTTATCATTAAAGAGAAGGAAAAACTTGGCCAACATGTGGTTATGGCCTATAAACCCAGCACACCGGAAGCTGAGGCAGGAAGATTCGGAGTTCAAAGGCTACAGCTACAGCTTGAGCTTGAGCCACTATCTCTAAAAAACAACAAAGAGAGGAGTAAAGGGAGGGAGGAAGAGAAGCAAGAAAAGAAGGATGAATGGAAGGAAGGATGGAGAGATGAATGGTTGGTTTGGAGAATAATTATGCCAAAATAACTTGAATGGCAGGTTAAGTTACCTTCGGCAGTCCAATCTCATCCATGGCATTCAGCCACTGAATCACATTATCCGTGTGTCTGAAGTGTAGTCCGGTAGCCTAAAAACACAAGAACATTAGGTGCTGTTGGCAAATACCACCTAAAGCTCTCCCTGTGACTCTCTCCTTGCGAGACTCTACAACACCGCCCCTGTAACGGTCAGCGCCAAGAAGCTACGGCCTCCCCTCTCTCACTCAGAACCTGCCTGGAGCCTCCCTGACCAGCGTGCATTACAGCGTGGTCTCTGGAACCACATTATCGGAGACTCAGTTCTCGGGCTCGGACATCTGCTGGTCATAGCCGACAAGCCATTCCCCCCTCGCGGTCTGCGACACTTCAGCTATTACCGCTACGTTGTGCACCTGCTGTGAGGCTGTGTGAGATGGTGCACATAGGAACCACGTAAGCTGGTGTGCTGTTGAGCAGACAGCCAAAAATGAGAGCTATTATTCAACATATCAATAAAACACTTAGAAATGATCCCCTGCAGCCGGGAGGGTGGTGCACGCCTTTAATCCCAGACTCAAGACAGGCAGGGGCAGGGGCAGCACTTTGAGTTCAAAGCTAGCCTGGTCTACAAAGGGAGTCCAGGGAAGCCAAGGCTACACAGGGAATTCTGTTTCAGAAGAAAGAAAGGAGAGAGAGGGAGGGAGAGAGGGAGAGAGGGGGAGAGAGAGAGTTCCCAGCAAATGTACATCTGATTATTTTTAAACAGTGATGAATATCAAACCCTCATGGATGCTAGTCAAGAGCTCTACACCCTGAGCTATAGCCCCAAACCCTATGTCTATTAATTTGGGGTACAATCACTATACAAAGGGACAAAGGGATATACACTTTTTTTTTTTTTTGCTTATTTGTTGTTTTGTTTTTCTGAGACAGAGTTTCTCTCTGTAGCACCGGTTGTCCTGGAACTCTCCCTGTAGACCAGGCAGGCCTCAAACTCAGAGATCTACCTGCCTCTGCTTCCCAAATGCTGAGATCAAAGGTGTATACCACCATGCCCAGCTACAAAGGATATACAAGTAGGGCTTTTGTTTGTTTGTTTGTTGAGACAGGGTTTCTCTGTATAGCCTTGGCTGACCCTGTCTCAAAAAAAAAAAAAAAAGTTGAAGTTATCTAGTTGTGGGAGTGGGTCACTGGGGACAAATCTCTGAAAAGTCTGTCTTCTCTTGTTCCTTCTTTCCCCCTCCCTGTCCTCTTCCAGTCCCCTGCCTCCCTGCTTCCCCCACTTCTCAGCCAGCATGACGTGAGTTCTTGTGAGCTTTGCTCCCTGCTACGATGGTCACCACAGCCAAGAAAGACTGGAGCAAAATGACAGACTGTACCCAGGAAACTGTGATTTTTCTCATTTCAGGCAATTAATACATGTAGTGATCTTGGCTGAGGATCTGTACCTTCTCGGCCTGAATAAGCATAAGAACCATCTTCACAGTCTGCAGCTCTAGCTCACCCCGCTTTGGCTCAGTCCTGAAAGTCAACCCCTGACACTCACTCTAGCTATGTAGCCCTCCACCGCCTCTCAGACAGTACTGCAGGGGTAAGCTCCTGTTAGGAGCTCTGGAGATGGGAAATCGGGTCCTTCTCAACATCCCAACTATCCTTCTCAGGGCCTGGGCCATGGGACTGAGTCCACTCACTCACCTAAGCTTTCTGAAGTTAAGGCTCTTTCTCATTTTATCTTGAACTCCTCCAGTACTGCAGGAGAAATTTTTCCCAAGTCGCTATAGCTACACTTCAGTGCCTTGTTCCAGTGTGACAATGCTAATTCCCCCAGTTACTTCCTCTACTTTCTAAGAATGAACAAATAAATCATACAGGGCTGAGAAACTGTAGATAAATAGCCCTGTCGGAGCACGGTACCAGAAATGCACAGCGGACGCCCTTTCCCGCTGTAGTTACTCCCTGTTGCCCCAAACTTTTTAAGGCTGGTTCTCCGTTCCGAACAAACACACGCCTTGATGCGTCTCTCAGCAGACGGTGCAGAGAGCCAGTGGGCCGACCCTCTCAAGCTCCGAGGTACTCTAAGCACCGAGCACAGAACTCACCTTGTATCTGGTCTGCTCTCGATCATAGATTTTTTTCAGGGACACCACCTTGGGAGAGAAGAAGTTCCCTAGCTTGGCAAGGTAGACTCCGTTCCTAAGCCCCTCCTCTAGCTCCGTGGTGGGGGGCAGGTCCTCCCCTAGGCATGCTTCCATCCACCTGCACGAGAGGAAATGAGGGTCAGAAATACCTTACAGAGGTTCACGTCTATTCTCCTAAACCAAATGTAACAACACTCCTGGACACATTCCGCTTGGCCTCGCTTCCCAGCTCAGAGCTGGGAGCTGGGACTTTAAGCGGAGGCCAAATGCCACCTTCTCCGCCAGGGTGAGGCTGTTCCACAAGCCTCATTCTAAGCCTGTACGTCCTTGTTACCCCTTAGCAAGGCCAAGAAAAGTACTTGCAACTGTAGCCATGGCCTGAACTGCCCATGTTTGTCACTGGTGGTCTTTTCAAGACGGTGACCTAAGCTCAGGCACTAGGATTGCTTTTAACAGTCAATCAGCTAAAATCCTGAAGGGAGGAAACTCTTAAGGAAAAGGTAAATAACAAGCTTTCTCCTCCCTCCCTGCCCCTCCCCATTTTCCCTCTTATTTAATTAATTAATTTATTTTGGTAGAATAATGAATTCTTAATCAGCTTCTCGGAGACAGGAAAAGAGATGGCTACATATAAAAGGAATCAGAAAGTACTTTTCTACCAAATGCTAGTCTCAAGAGCTCAGGGAGTGGAAGACAAAGAGCTTTCAGACGCTTCTATTTCCTAACAGAAACGCAGATAACTAAAGCTTACAGTAATGATTTTAAGCACTCTTTAACTTTTTAACATTTAAGATAAACACACATATAAGGAAGCATGCGAGTGTGTGCGAGAACAGCACAGGCCATGCCTGGCTCAAGTGTGAACGTCATAAAATAACTTGCTGGAGCCTGTTCTCTTGTTCCACAGTGTGCCTCCCCAACTCAGGTCGGCACACTCAGTAACAAACACTTTCATCCACTGAGCCATCTTTTAACTACTTTTTGCCAGAGTCTCTTGAATATCTAAGGAAAGATATACAGTGCGCATTCCAAATGTTCATATATTTAAATTTTACATATAACCTCAGAACTTTCATTGACTTTATGAACCTGGAGTAAGAAGAACTCAATAGTTTAAAATTATTCCACTCAAGTTATGAAGGTTAGCATTATTCTCATACTGTCTCCATACTGTGTGGAAAAAAAAACCAAAACATTAGATGCTGCTTGATCTGTTTGACAAAAGTAATAAATCTTCGAAAAGCTAAGTGAAAAAAAGTTCACGATATAGCAGATACATTTTATAAATATTTTATAAAACACAAGAATTTTCATTTTGTTGTTTAGGTTGGGGTTTTTTGTTCGAATCCAGGGTTCTGCTATCTTCAATTCTTGAACTTTAGCAATCCTCCTGCCTCCGCCTCCAGAGTACTCCAGACTTTAGAAACCCACTGTGGCTGTACCCAAAGTTTACATTACGAGCCAAAGAGGGACAGAGAAGCAGTCTGGCGGCACAGCACTTCCCTAGCAGGTTCTGGGCCCTAAGATCAATACCCAGTACCTCCTCAAAACTAAAAAGACAGGCTGGAGAGATGGCTCAGCGGTTAAGAGCAATGGCTGCTCTTCCGGAGGACCTGGGATCTGCTCCCAATACCCACGTGGCAGCTCAGGGGATCCAAAACCTCTTTCTGACCTCCATGGATACCAGGCACATACATACATGTAGGCAAATACCCATACACATAACGTCAATACAATTTTCCTTTCTTCCTTTAAATACTATAGAGCAGTAAGAGTTTTATTTTCAAATCTATTCTTTTAGTGCATCCTGCACTGTCTCACGCAGCTGGCAATTAAGTAAAGGCTCCACAGACACAGAGATAAGACGAAAAAAACCTTCTGATTGTCTCCTGAATACAATGACAACAAGCTTTTCTTCTGACTCTCCTTTCAAGTATCATAATAAAGAAAAGAGGCAAGTTGCCCAGAAGAGTTGCCATGGCAACTAAATTTGCCATAGCTACCAATTTGCCAGGGCTACAGAAATCAAACTATACATTTGCTGGAGCCTAAAAAATCAGGACAACAGTCTGGAAGAGAATGGCAGCTTCCAGGATGGAAAGAGCTGTAGCCAAAGGATATATGTCACATTATTTTTTTTCTATTATTTTACTGCTATAAAGGGAATAGGTGGTCAGGGATGTTGGCATACGTCTCTGATCCCAAACTTGGAAAGCAGAGCCAGGCAGATCTCTGCGAGTTCAAAGTCAGCCTAGTCTGCATACTGAGTTCCAGGACAGCCAAGGCTATGTATTGAGATCCTGTCTCAGAAACCTCAGGGAAGAGGCTGAACAAGACCATTCTGACAAACAGCTGCTGGCAACCCCAGCTCTCAGGGGACCTTCTAACTCAGGTTCTCATTAACAGGAACAAACCTCATAACAACAGCCAAAGCCAGAAATGGCACACAATAGACAAAGAAAAATTATTTATTCTTTGCACGATATGATGTCAGTCCATAGGGAGGACTGTGGACTCATTTGCCCGAGCCAGAGACAGTTCCCTTAGGCGGCTAGATCATCCATCCTTCTCTCTGAAGTTACTAAATTAAACTGAAAATAAAAGACAGGACTGACTTAGGTGAGCTACAATTTTTTTGTCTTTGCCCTCTGAGGTCCAACAGCTATCAAACAGTCCTGATTAATGTCTAACCTTACAAGTTTCCTGCAGTAAGGAAGGATACTAGACATAGCACCAAAAACCAGAGCTTGTGATTTGGTGAGCAGAGCACCAGAGGCAGAAGCCAGACTAGAAAGAGAGGAAATCGCAGGTACTGGCTCCAACCACTGTGCACACACTCACCTTGAGGCAGCAGTTCCCCAATGTTCTGTTTCTGAGAACAGAATAAACCAGGTTTGGGGAGAGAAGAGTCTGTGCATCTTAGTTTGCTTTCTATTGCTGTGATAAAGCATTTGGGGAGGAAAGTGTTTATTTCACCATCAGTGAGAGAAGTCAGGGCAAGAACTCAGAACAGGAACCTGGAAGCAGGAACTGGGGCAGAGGCCATCTAGGGGTGCTGCTTACTGGCTTGTTCCTCATGGCTAGTTCAGCCCGTTTTATTATAGCACCTACGACCACCAGCCCAACAGTGAGGGCACCACCCCAGAGTGAGCTGGAGCCCTCACAGCAATCATCAGTCAAAAAAAAGAAAAGAAAAGAAAAGAAAAGAAAAGAAAAAAGAAAAGAAAAGAAAAGAAAACCACACCATTGGCTTGTCCACAGGCTAACTGGGTGGGGGCGTTTTCTCAGCTGAGTTTCTCTCTTCCAAAATGATCATAACTTGGGTCGAGTTGACATAAAACCAGCCAGCACACTGCATTACTCCAATTTTGATTGGTAATTGTCAGTACAGTGCCTTGATGCTAACCAACCAACAGACTCTCTACAAAGCCCAGGCTCCACACTGGCCTCAAATCCAGGATCTTTCTGCCTCTGCCGGCAAAGCACTGGGGCCGCAGGTGTATGGTGCCGAACCTTGCTATGCTCCTGTAACTTCTGTGTCAGCTCTTGACTCTAACTCTAAAAACAAGCTGCCTTTTCAGTCCTCTACAGCTCACATGAACTCTCTTCTACCATTACATCACAGTCCTAAAGTCTGAGAGCAGCGAGTGTGCCTCTAGCACAGAACTCTATGGTTTCATCCTTTGGCTTGTTTGATTGTAAGAGTAGAATAAACATTAACAAAAATCATTCTGAAGGGATCAGGAACTGGGGGAAGGAGTGTGAGTAGCAATGAAGCCATGCACAATCCCAGAAATTAGACTCCGGAGACCGGGCAAAGATGCAGATCTGACTTTATTGTCCAGTATAACAGCTTTTAAATGACTGAAAGGCCAATCAGACCATCCCATGCTAGCCTCCAGCACCAGTAACAATCAATCAGGTTGGTGCGGCTGTAAGGAAATATGGGAGATGTAGGGGGACAAGGTCACTGTAGGATGCTTCCTTAAAGAAGAGGGAAGCAGTCACCATCCTGGCCTCGGATCCATTTCGAGACTTCACTAGTGTACTAGGAGGCCCTAGCGCATCAACACCGTGTGTAGCGGAGCAGGACCTTTTGAGGAGTCAGAGGAGTTGCTGACGCTCCACTCGCCATTCCCTAGGGGCCTCCAAAAGGCTCACCTCAGCATTCCCCACATCACTCAACATTTTTCACAACTCTATGACTATTTTCCATGTTGTTTGTTATGTAGTTTCTGAAGACTTTTAAGTTATATAAAGCTTCTACCAAGGGATTGGTCACCTTTATTGGCATTTATGTCATTTATAAATGTTTCCAACCATTAAACAATACTGCAAGAATATCTCTGTGCAGTGTTAGAATTCATTCTAAAGAGAGACCCTTAGAAAGATACTAAGATACATAGAAAGATACATACTCAGAAAGTGCCAAAGCCCAGGGTTTAATCCCCAGCCAAATAAAAAATGAAACAGAGATATATGTACATTACACAGACATTTTAAAAGTTGTTTTAAACATTGATATGGGAAATGGTTTTTAAATTGTCTTTTGCCTGAATGTATATATGGGCAGTGTATGTGCCCGGTATCCAGAAATCAGAAGCATGGGCTAGATCCCCTGGAATTGGGGTTGTTAGAGGCCATGGAGGTGCTGGGAACGGAACCAGGGTCCTATGTAAGACTAGCAAGTGTTCTTGCCCACTGAACCATTTCTCCAGAACTCACATACATAACCATTTACAAGTATCCTTCACTGCCCAAGAGGCTGCTCCAAGGTTGTATATCATTTGCAAAAATCACTCATTTGTCAATTAGAAATGACTTCTCCAAGGTCTCTGCTACTAAGTGGCAAACTCTTAGTTTGGAGCCCTTCTCACAGCACCATTGCTGAGCACCACAGGGTTGTTTAACTAGAACCGGGCATCCCAGGATGCCTAAACAGGGCAAAGGTTCAGAAATCCCATGCTGGTGGGGAGAAAAGGCTGGGAAGCCTTCATGGCCTGTCTTAGACAGCTCAATAGCAAAGCTATCAGAGCCTGGGGTGATGGTGCACGCCTATGATCCCAGCAGTCAGGGAGGCAGAGGCAGGCAGATCTCCATGAGTTCAAGGCCGGCCTA